CTGTTGTGTGGGGCTTGGTCTCTATCCAGTAGCAGCATCGGTGTTTTGAGAGACTATGCAATATGCGTCAGAAATGATGTTTGCTGCATCCTGGAGATGACTTTAGAATTCTAAATAATGGAAGGTTAGTTATGTGATCCAGTAGGACTCTGTCCCGAAATCTTGAAGTGGTTTGCTGTCCTTTACGTTTTACTTGCAAAATATAGTCTACGTATTTCCAAACAAAACCCTGGCATAAATACATTAAGTGTTTATCTTTCATATCTAGAAGTAAGGACTCATTAATATAACAAAGCCATAATATAATTAATCCCACAAAATCAAAACACTTTATTCTCTCTAGTAGAGTCTATTAGAATAGTCACTGATAGTTGCCTCTTAATGATTTTGCATTTACATAAGAGATTCAATAATAATATAATTAAATATGTACTTTTGTTCAGATTATCCAGTTGTTTATGTTTTGCCATACTTTATCCTTTTGTTTACATGTGTGCATACACATAGTATTTAGGAGATCTACTACCTACAAATAACTTTCTAAACGTTTTGGTGATGAGTTGCATGTATTGTCCATTCTTATTCTCTCTTTATATTTAGTTTATTGCATATCACTAGTAATACTTTTTATGTAGCAAGTAGTCATCAAATTTAGGAAACAGCATTGAGTAATGTTTATAGCAATTTTTGATCTGATGTAAGATAAAATACTGCATTTTGTTGTCTTGTGTAGTTAAATCATCTATAATTTGAAACATTCGACCTCTTGTTTCCTCATGACCCTGGTTAGCTAGTATTCGGTCAGTTTAACACAAGCTAGAATCATTTGGGAAGACAGAACCTCAATTGAGAAAATGTTGCCTTTCCACCAGGATTGGAATCGTGGCCAAGCCTGTTTGGCATTTTCTTGATTGATGTGGGAGGGCTCAGCTCTCGGTGGGTGGTATCACTCTTGGGCTAGTAGTCCCTGGTATTTAAGAAAGCAGGCTGAAGTGTGGAGAACAAGTCAGTAAACAGTGGTCTCCGTAGCTCCTGCCTCCAGATTCCTGTCTCAAATTTCTCCCCCAACTTCCCTGGATGATGGACTACAAGCTATAACCCTTTCTTCCCCAAGTTGCTATTGATCATGGTGTTTTACCAAAGCAATAGAAACCTTAACTAAGATGGAAATTGCTTACCAGATCATGGGTTCTGTTGTGACAGACCGGACCATATGTTTTGGGGAAGATTGTGGCGGCATTTGTATTTTGGGCTGGAAAGATGCTCAGAGCTCTGTGGACTGTTTTGTTGGAAGGATAGACTGTTGGGAGAAGTGCAAGTAGATGATAGAGGCCTGGCTTGTGAAGCACAAAAGGAAGCAAAACTCTTGTGGGGTTATTCAAGTGACACTTTGAATTGAGAGCAGCTTAGGTGAGATTTTTGCTTTGCTGGGACAATTGATACTGGTCAGCTGGGGCTGAAGGCTCAGCTGATTAAGAGACGGGCATCATTGAGGCCAAATCTAATGGGAAGTGTTTACTCCCAGTCAGCACACTGAAGTTATAGTTCAGAGAAGGTCGAGGCTATATGAACCTTGTGCTGGCAACCATACTTGGTAGTGTGTAAGTTTCCTAGTTGTCACTGATTGGAAGGCATGAGGGGTCATGGAGAGACTCTGAGCCTATTGGTTAAGATATTAACCCCCCACCCCCCACCCCCCCACCCCCGATACACACACACACACACACACACACACACACACAAACACACACACACACACAGTATTTCAGGAGGATTAAAATTTCAAGGTAACCTTGGCTTATAAGGAGTTTGAGGCTAATTTGGACAAGAGACCCTGTCAGGGTAGCCTGGGGGGGGGGCCCTGGGGCTGGGGCTGGGAATGTAGCTCACTTTCTCCATTGCTTGCCTAGCATATACAATATCCTGATCACTGTACCACAAAAATCAGGTTTGGTTGTGCGTGCAGGCAAGCCTATAATCTCAGATGTCTGGAAGCAGAGAGAGGAGGAATCACAAGTTCCAAGTCGTCTTTAACTCCATAGGGAGGGCGAGGCTTTCCTGGCCTCTATGAGACCATTTCTTCAAACAAACAAAAAAGGAAAATTCAGAAAGGGGTTGCTAAGATGGCTCAGTGGGTAAAGCACTTTTTGTGCATGTATGAAGACCTGAGTTTGAACTCCCAGTACCCGCTTAGAAAGTTGGGCATAGCTGACTGTGACTGTACTCCCAGTGCTAGGAGGCAGAGGCAGCTAGATGCCAGGAACTTGGTGACTAGTCAGCCTAGCCAAATGGACAGCAGCAAACTTCCAGTTCACTGAGAGATCCTGTCTTGAAGCATAAGACAAAAAGCAATAGAGGAAGATGGACGGTGCCTGTGTATGCAAACAAATACGTGTATGCATCAAGCAAAGTAGGCCAACAGTGAAACAAACATTAAAACCAAACTAAGTAAATGAATGTAAGAGAAAATGAATTTATCATAACCGTTTAATATAATTGCATTTAGTTGTGTGGTGTGTTTATCATTTGCTGCTTACCTTTCATGACCTAGAGTCTGCTGAAGGTTACAGGTTAGTTCATTTGTAAATGTTCCTCATTTTGGATTTATCCAATGCTTCTTTATGATTATATTATATTATATATTGTTATATGTAGTTGTAAGATTTTTGCTTTTTGACTTTTTGATCGGCATCCACCCAGCTCCCAAGTAAATCATACATGGAGGCTTATTCTCAGTTATGAATGCTTGGCCTTAGGGTTTTTTTTTTTTTTTTTTTTTTTTTTTTGCCAGCTTTTTAAAATTATCCTGACTACCTTTGTCTCTGGGCTTTTATCTTTCTCTGTTTCTGTATATCTTACTTTTACTCTTACTTCTGGTTGTCTGGGCCACTTACTCCTGATATCCTCCTCTTCTTGTCCTCTTACTGTTCCCTCCTTGTTTCTCCCTTTACTTATCCTCTCTGCCTGTCAGCCCCACCTGTCCTTGCTCCTGCCTTGCTATTGGCCAGCCATTCAGCTCTTTATTAGGATCACCAGGTGTTTTAGATAGGCATGGTTAACACAGCTTCACAGAATTAAACAAATAAACGCATCGTAAACTAAGGTTACACACCTTAAGATAATGTTCCCCAACAGTTATCAGTTTATGCATATTCAAAACAGATGTTACCATTGAGACACTGATGAAATCTTCTCATTGTCACATTTGACTTCCATTTGTCAAATTTCTGATGGTATTCATTTTGGTCACTGGATAAAATGGATTCTGCCAAATACCATGCGAATCTCACCATTCATTCCTTCAGTAAGGATTCAACATCCTCTTTTGATTCATAGGTTTTAATCCATTAGTATAATTTATTTAATATTCTTAATTTGGTCAGTCAGATCCCCTTTCCAAGTGATTTCTGTGCCCTCTTCTTGGGTTCCAGTATAGTCGAAGCAGGACTGTCCAACTGAGTGATCATCCTCCCAAGGTTTTTCCAATAACAGGCTAGTCTGCTAAGATTCTGCTTTCCCTCCAGGCTGATGAGGAGGTTCTGGCTCTGCACCCACACTGTGGCTCATCATGAGCATCTTCTTCTGCTTGGGCCATAATAGACTGTCCTTGGTCTTTGCCGTAAGTTTCCCGACAACCAGTGTGGGGACTTGCCATGCACCTCTTGTTTTGTGCTGTCTCCAGGCTACTTATTTATTTGTGGTGCTGGACATTGAACTGGGAGCCCCTCACATGCCACACAAGTGTTTTAGCTCTGAACTGGGTCCCAGCTCTCTTTTTTTCTTTTCATTTTGAGACAGACACTCACTCCATTGTTCATGCTGGCCTTGAATTCATTCTGTGGCACAATGAAGCCTTGAACTTAACAGTCTTCCTGTCTTGACCTCTGAAGTACCTGGAACTTCATGTGTATGTCAACAGACCTGGCTAGGCTCCCATTTATTTATTTATTTATCGATCTATTTTTTTTGGTTGTTGAGGCAGGGTTTATCTGTATCATTAGAGCCTGTCCTGGAACTCTCTCTGTAGAACAGCCTGGCCTCCAACTCACAGAGATCCACCTGCCTCTGCCTCCCAAGTGCTGGGATTAAAGGCATGTGCCACCACTACCCGTTGGCTTCCATTTTAGGTGAGCTAGACAGTTTGATAACTTTGTGACAGGAGTTTCATAAATAATCACTCCAGAGATTTTCTCACCTTTTGTGATTTAGCCTTGAAAATTCATACCATCATTTCCCTTATACTTTCTTGGCCAAAGTGGTTCCACAATCCACCTTCATGTCACAGGAAGAGGTAGAGGAGTAGCAAAGTCAGAATAAGAGCACAGGACTGGATATCTGACCTTCTATAGTAAAACAGTTAGTTACACTGAAAGATGCAGCCCATACAGAGATGTGATCATCAGTATCCTTCCTACTTTGTCTTTATGTCATTGCATTGTCTGAGAAGTAATGTGTAAAGAAAGCAAATGTGTTTTGCTTCTGTTCAGGATGCAGATGCAATACAGAATGCAATTTATTACCTGAAAAAAGAGAATTATTGTGAGCTGTTGAAAATAATTAAAAATTCTTGAAATTCTAAATTAAAATATTCAGTGTTATCATTTGAATTTCAAATGTTTCCTACAAGCCCATTTTCTTAACTACTTTGTCCCCAGCTTGTGATACTTTTTTTGGGAAGTTCTGGAAACTTCAGGAGTTTGGTCTAGTTAGAGACATAGGTCACTGGGGGTTGCACCTTTGAAGGCTATACATGTATCACTGTCCCTACTGTTTTCTTTCTCTTGTGAGGTGAAGGCTCTCCTCTTCCCTCTGCTCTTATGGCCATAGTATTGTGCCAAAATGGATGTGGCCAACAAGCTGTGGGTTGGACATTCTGGAACTGAGCCATGGTAAATCTTTCCTCCCTTCCTTAGGTGGTTTCTGTGTGGTATTTTGTCACAGTGTTGAGTCTCTGTAAATATTATGGGCTATTTATTCTTACTGTTATTATTCACAGGACGTTGTGACTGGCTTTGCTTAATTCGTCTCAAAAAGCATGGAGATAAGATTAGAAGTTTTGACATCAACAAGTATCAAGCAGAAAAAACCCTGGCCCAGAGTTTCCTGGTTGGGTCAAGTGAGTGTTTCTTTATTCATATATTAATGGTTTTACATATGTTAAATGTGTGTTTTTCCTGTAAGATGTAGGAATGTTCTGTGGCCTTAATCCCCCCTCCCCCCAAAAAAGCCCAAAATAACACATTATAACATCATATTCAGAAGATCACCTAGCCCCTGAACAACAGGATTATCTCTCTCTCTCTCTCTCTCTCTCTCTCTCCCTCCCCCTCCCCTTTCTCCCCTCCTCTGTCTGTGTGTGCATGCATGTGTGTGCTAAGTTATAATGTACAAGTTAGTATTTATAGAAAATTGAGTCATCTGTCTAGGTAAAAACTTTTGCTTTCAATTTTTTTTTTTCCTTTATATCATGTTAAAAGTGGGAGTTGAATTTCCTACACTTGCCCTACCAAAACAGTGGAGTGTTTCTAATATTGTGTCTTTAAAGTAACCTCAGGCCTGGAATAGGAAAGGTGGGCGGGCCATAAGGCATTAATAATCCAGGAATGCCATTCATAATATATGAATTCATAATTCACACCTTAGACTGGGCAAACCTACAGAATCCTCTTTTAATTTATAATAATTGTTGATATAAAGACTCAGATTTTCAGTGAGAAATTCTACCATTAACTTCCCTGTAACAGGAATCTCTCTACTGCTTTTCTTTTAATTATTTTTATCTTCTGTGAATGACTATTTTCCTTTCATGTATGTAAGTACACTACATGCATGGTTGGTTCACACAGAAGCCAGAAGAGGGTGTCAGATCCCATGGAACTGGAATTTCTTAGGGTTGTGAGATGCTACATGGGTTCTGGGAATCAACTCAGGTCTCCTAGAAGAATAGCAAGTACTCTTATCCATTGAGCCATCCTCCAGCTCAGGAGTTTTCAACTTTTACACTCATCAAAATTATCTAGACGGGTGAAATTTGTTTAGTCATAAAGAAAAAATGTTGAAGGATAATGTGTGAACTAGAGATCATCCTGTTAAAAGAAGCCTGGCATGGAAGGAAAATGCTACATGCCTTTTCTCAAAATTAAAAAAATTGCATTTAATAAAAAGTGTGTATTCGAAAACATAAAGGGGACTTGTGGTAGGAAGAAGGGGTCCAGTGAGAGGTAGACATGACAAAAGAGGGTAATGGGAAGAGGGAAAAAGATAAATATGATGTGTTTTCTCATGTTCCATCTATATTTTATATATATGTATATACATGAATAAATCAGAAGGGGAGTTCTTGGATGTAGTAAATGGACAAGGGAGGCTAATGGGCCAATACAAGCAAAATATGTGTGATAAGTGTGTTTGAAAATATCTCTTAATGAAACCCATACATTGTATACTAACTAAAATAATAATAATAGTAATAATAAAAAAACAGACTGCGAAGTCCCATAGTACTTCCAGCTCAGTAAGTCTAGGCTGGGTAATTTGTGTTTTTTGTTTTCTTTTCTTTTTAAGGTTTAGAATGTTTTAAAACATTGCTTATATGCTTAATGTATATGAGTTTTATTTGCGTGTATGCCTGCAAATGAAAAGAGGGTATCAGGTTCCATGAAAATTCCATGAGAGTACAGTTATAGATGGTTGTGAGCTACCATATGGGTGCTGCAAATTGAATCAGGACCTCAAGAAAAACAGCCAGTGCTTTTAAGTACTGAGCCATCCCTCCAGACCTGGTAATTTGTGCTATTTAGCAGGTTCACTGTTGCTGGCTCCACAAACTTCATACAGAATACCTTAATTTTTCTAGACAAAAAGAAAAGTGATCTAAGTCATGACCTTATGGATTTCTAAAGCCATAGTCATTTAAATCTAATCAAACAGTATAAAAAACTTGTGCAGCCTGGTGGTGGCAGCGAATGCCTTTAATCCCGGTAGTTGGGAGGCAGAGGCAGGCAGACTCTTGAGTTCAAGACCAGTCTAGTCTACAGAGCAAGTTCCAGTATAGCCAGGGCTAACCAGAGAAACCCTGTCTCAAAAAACTAAAACCAAAAAAAAGCTTCTCCATACAGATGCTCACATGAGTAGGATGTTAAATAATTTGCTGAATTGGCAAATGGCTCTAGAATATTAACCCCTAAAGAGCTTTAAATGCAGCCGTTAGAACACTTTACCTTGTAACGTTAACAAGAGGCATTTTATTATTATTTCCTATTTTCCTAGAATATATAGATATACAATCAGGACCTCACTGCTACACAAGCACTCTTTTCCCGAGCTACACCCTATCCCAAGTGTTAATGCAGAATCAAAAATGTTTAGGTCATGGGTTTAATGTTTACTTTAGATTTTTGGTATAAATTATTCTTGTCCTTAAATGTTATGTTGTTTTCCTTTCTAGGGCAATTTATGTAGAAAAGATTGAATTAACTTTTGGAACTACCTAAGTCCTTCACATGTTTTTTTCTCTTAGGAGAATGAAGCTGTTTTTCTTTTGGATGAGAAATTCATAAATGAGATTAATTTGCTGTCTGGGAGAACAAAGAAGAAAATTCCTAGTCTGCAGCCTTTGATGAAGGATGTTTTTTTTCTGGCAACATCCAGTAATGGTTAAGTACTGCTGATATGTTCTAAAGGCTAGCTTACTATGATTTTTCAAGAAAAAAAAGTGGGTGATATAGTGTGTTAAAAATTGCATTTTGCTTTTGAACAGATGTGTGGCTGTCTGGGGTCCTCACTACAGGAGAGCTTTTCCTGTGGAACAAAGATCAAGACTGTTTGAAAATGATACAGGTGACCGAAGAGCCTAAAGAAGTTATTAAAGCTACAATAGGTAGGAATTTTTAAAATTTTGTTTGCCTAGAAAAAGACTGAAAATTTTTCATATTACTATTTTGATAATGTGTCTGTTTATGTGCATGTGCGTATTGTTTCTGTGTATATAATACTCATTTTGAAGTTTGGTTGGTGCTCTTTTTAATTTGGTGCTCCTTCTTAACTTGAAGGAGAAAACCTGGCACGACTGCCATTGCTGTGATAATGGATTCCTAATGTTACATACCAGTGCAGGTTTTGTGGTGCAGGTCTGTAATCCAGACAGTTGAGGAGACTAAGGCAGGAGGACCAGAAGCCTAAATATTGCTTGGATTGCAGATTGAGCTGAAGATCAGTTTGAGCTGCCAAGTGAGACCTTATCTCAAAATACAAAGTAAAAAAGGACGCTTGTTGTGGGTCTTGGTGTTAGAGCACTTGCCTAGCCCATGCAATACACTGGATTCAATCTCTAGTACATTATTAGTGCTGGTCAAGGTGACCCAAACCTTTAATCCCGGCACTTAGGAGGCAGAGCCAGGTAGATCTCTGAGTTTGAGGCCACCCTGTCTACATAGTGAGTTCTGGGATAACCAGAGCTACAGAGAAAAATCCTGTCTCAAACCAAACAAAGTAATAAATGTTATTGTTGTTTGTACTTTTGTTATTGCTTTAGTTTTAATATCCTGAATGGTAACACAGCTTGAGTTTCTAGTTGAAAGGGTAGCTAACTTTGCTAGGCAAGCATTTGGGATGCTGAAACAGAAGGAGCTCAAGAGAGTTTGAGGCCAACCTGGGCTAGCTACAGAATGAGACCTTATTTCATAAAAGTGAAAATGGAAAAGAATATTATGTGCTTTCATGAAAAATTCATATTTTGCAAGTTTTATTTTTCTGCTTTGTTTTGTGTTAATTAGCAAGCTCTTCAAGGCTATACTTATATGTAGCTGAAAATGGGAAAAGAATTCTGTTTATTACATCTTCTGGCTGCGTACTTCTGTGGGAATATTTGGAACTGAAGAATATCTTATCTTCTAAAAGCCTTCCATTGGTTGGTCATTGGTTTCAAATCATACCTGAAGAAGCCGTTTTATTGCCTTCCTCTAAAGATAAAGAAGCTGTAGTGGATGCTGTTTTTGTCAAAAATGAGGTAAAACTCAAATGAAAGACTATTGAGTAGATCTCTTAGACTTTAAGAATTGTCCGTACTTGAGAAACTGTTTAGCCAGGGGTATGATTGTATAGCTGTTTGTCACTAGTCAGAGCATTTGTGAAACTACTGTTTAGAAAAGATGTTTTTAAATATGTTTTTAAATATGTTTAAATAAGTTTTAAATATTAAAACTTTCTTTCCCTTAGTATGATATGACTTGCAATGAACATGTGGTGAACTTGGTAGAACATACCTACAATGCCAGCGCTCGGGAGGCAGATTTGGATAATTAGCATGGTAGCACCAAGCGTTTGGGAAACAGATGTGCAAGGACTAAACAAAGTTCAAGGCCAGCCTGGGTTACATATTGAGCTCCAGGCTGTCTTGGCTACGTAGCAAGACCTTGTCTTAAACAATCAAATTAAAATGTGTGCATGTTCTGTAAGTTAATAAGCTAGAGCTGGTAGTGTTCCATAAGACCTTAAATTCTTAGTATATAATGGATTAAATATTTAAATAAAAATTTTAAATAGTCATGTGATAGTCTCTGTGTATGAACTTTGATCTATTACCAAATCCACCTTTGTTAGAAATTATATTTTGAAGTTGGGCTTGGTGGTACATGCCAATCTCAGCATTATGGAGACAGAGGCAAGCTGATCAGTTCAGACCAGACTGGACTATGTGACAGCCTCTCTTTAAAAAAAAAAAAAAAAGAAAAGAAAAGAAAAGAAAAAAAAAATCATTGGGCCCTTTAGCTCCAGCACTCAAGAGGCAGAGGCAGGAAGATCTCTGTGAGTTCAAGGCCAACCTGGTCTATAAACTGAGTTCCAGGGCAGCCAGGGCCACACAAAGAAACCTTGTCTTGAATATCCCTCCCCCTGCAAAATAATTCTATTTGAAGTTTTATTGGTCCCTCTCCCAGTAAGGTGATACTCTAATATAAATAATATTACAAAAGAAGAAAATAACAGGAACCTTCCCAGCAACAGTAAATGGAAGTATATTTTTTCAAACTAGTATTTGAACATATTTATGATGGTGTATAGTACTTCTGTAACATTTGTATATTATAGTCAAATAAGCATTTCCATGTCCTCAAACATTAAATACTTTGGGAATTTTATTCTCTTTGAGTCGCTTTGATAATGTTTTTATTATCTTATTTTTTTCAAAGATTTATTTTGTGTGTATGAGTGTTTTATCTGCATGTGTGACTTTAAGCCAGAAGAGGACACTATGGAGGAGTTTGAGCCACCATGTGGATGCTGGGAATTGAACTCAAGATGTCTGGAAGAGCAGTCTGTGCTCTTATCCGCTGAGCCATCTCTCCAGCCCCTTTTATATTTTATATTATCAATTGTAATATTGATAATATAGTCAGCAGTTACCCCACATTGCTATAGGAATACCAGTCCAAATCCCCCTGCTTTGGTGTTCCTTATGGGCTTGAGTGTAAACAAGATGCTTAAGGCCCTGGGTTTTCTCCCCAGCCCCAGAAGAACTCTTCCGTGTCCTTGTGCTGATTTCTCCATTTGGGCCTTGTTTCTGGCAAATAAAGAATTACTTAGCTTTAGTTTACTATTTATTATGAATGAAAATATATGAGACATTTTCATATATCAATTAATTTTCAGATTAATTTTATACTAAACTATTAAATTTATCTGCAGTTACTTGGCGACTGCTGCCTGTGTTCTTTTACTTTTTATTCTGGAGGATGCTTGAAGTTAACATTTCTGGCCATTCAGTGGTACGAGAATGTATTTACATCTGTAAGGTGAGGTAAATATTTCCCTACTTGTTTTCTACTTTTAAACAAACATTGTCATTTTGTCATTGACCAGTATATAGTTAAGATTTTTAGGTCTTAATTTCTGTTTTTAAGGCTTTGTAGACCTTCCCTTCTTGCTTTCAGTTTTAAACATTTAATCTAGAAAGTTTCTCTTGTGGGTTGTTTTTTTTTTTTTTTTTTTTTCCACTTAGAAGGGAGAATATGAAAGAGATAATAGGTTATATTTGTCTTGACACAATGCACATAATTACTTTGAAAGGAATTGGACTTTAAAGGGGGAAGGATATTTGGATTTACTGTTGTACTCTCAAATGCTCAACTGTTTTGTAGTTTTGGACAAAGTCTCACTGTGTAGCGCTGGCTATCCTGGAACTCTGTGTGATTGTGCTGGTCTTGGACCCAAGAGATCCTCTTGTCTCTGCATGCCAAATGCTGGAGCCACCAGGACTATCCTCAAGTGTTGTTTGTTTTTAAATAGTAAAATAGTTTGTATTCTAAGTTCCATAAAATAGAGCAAAATATATTAAAAGCTTATATTACTTAAGTAAGATTAGGAAAGTAATGTAACTTTTATGAATTTTTTATGTTAGCAGTACTTTGTTATTTACAAAAATTAAAATAGTTTGTAAGTAGGTTGGTCACTGTACCCACCTATTTAATTATTCCTTAAAACAAATGTGGGGAATTGACAATCAAAAAAGAGTTCTGTTTCCTTTACTTTTTCCTCAGTTTTTAAAATGTACATTAACTGCATAAAAAGTAAATTTTCCTTATGACATTTCATTTGATCATATTCATATCCCTATTGTCCTCATTCCCCTCCCCCATTTTTTGGTTCCAGTGAATAGTTTGCTGTCATGTAAAAATGTTTAAACATTTAGATGAAACAGATATATTTAGGCTTGATTATGGAATATAGCTCTACTTGGAAAACTCCAATACTGAACTAGATTTACTGACAGTTACCGAACAGTCACTGATGTGTCATTCATCCATATATATATATATATATATATATATGTATATATATATATATATATATGTATGTATATGTATATATATGTATGTATATGTTTAGGTGAATTCTTTGTTGTTGTTGTTATGAACTATATATCAACTTCAAAATTGTTATATGAATTTGCCATAGTCATGTATACCTGTAGTGCTTGTTACTTAGGAGGCTGAGGAAGAGGCTCTCTTGAACCCAGGAGTTCAAGGCTAGTCTGGGTCATATATTGAGACTTCATCTCAAAAACAGACACATACACATCAAAAATAAGTAAGTACATAAAGTCATTAACCCTTGCCAGGCAGTGGTGGTTCACTCCTCTAATTCTAGCACTTGGGAGGCAGAGGCAGATCTCTTGAGTTTCAGGCCTGCCTGGTGTACAGTTTCAGGACAGCCAGGGCTACCTAGAGAAACCCTGTTGAACCTTGCTGTCATTAATTTCATTGCTTTCTTAGGTCACTGCCGTTCCATGTTCACTGGGCACAACAGGAATGTCTTCTGTGCAGTCTGACTCCCAAGTGTGAGTCAGTGAAGTCAAGAGGAGCTCTGATCTCGGCCTTCTCAAGAGATGGCCTTGCCCTGGCGGTAACTCTTAATCAGAAAGACCCAAAGGTCAGGAACCAGCATCTGTCCTTAGTGCTACTTTATATTCTTTAACGTTATGTTTTCAGTCCGTTGTTGTTTGGTAGTTATATAAATCAACTGTCATAGTTTTCAAAAGCTGTTTTGAAGAAATGTAAAATTAGAAAATCTTATTTTGGTGACAAATGCCTGTAATCTCAGCATTCTGCACTCTTGGGCAGGAGGATTTGAGTTCAAGGTCAGCCTGAGTTATATAGCAACACCTTGTCTCAAACACCACAAAACAAAGTAAGAAGTGACAAGATAAAAGGAGGGCATGTGTGCTAATTCCAGCTGTTGGCAGGGCTGGGGTGGGAGGATTTCAAGTGTAGGGCTACTCTGAACAATTTAAGAGTGAAGGGCTATAGTACTGCTTGGCATGGAAAGATTACTTACTTTATTAGTATAATAACAGCTTTTTCAGCCTTTAGGAAGTAATACACACAGAAGATAATATCACTGATGTCATGTTTTCCTCCTTCTAGGCAACTCAGGTATTATTTATAAACACACTGAATTTTGTTACTCTCTGTGGTGATCTTAAAGGATGTAGTAACAAGAATCCTGTGGTCCCAGCTACACTTACCAGGTAAGAACATGTGTCTCTTATCTCTAAGGACAGTTTTTGAAGTTTGAAGCTCTACAAATTCCATAAATATCATAATACTTAGATAAAGAATGCGATTTTGTTTTGTTTTGTTTTTGAGACAGGGTTTCTCTGTGTAGCTTTGCAGCCTATCCTGGCACTTACTCTGTAGACTAGGCTGATCTCAAACTCAGAGATCTGCCTGCCTCAGCCTCCCAAGTGCTGGGATTAAAGGTACTTGCTACCACACCTAATTTGTATACATCTTATAGCTCATGTGTTATCCAAAAATCACCATGAATGTGGTGTTTTAAAAAAAAAAAGTCTATGAATACTCCAGCCTTCTTGAATTGGTCTCCCCTCTCGACATTGCATCTTACCCTCCCTAACAAAGCCTGATTTTGCTCTACCTACTCAAATTCTGTTCCTAAGAAAATAGAAAAAAGAAACAATGAAGAAAATACATTTGTTTATTTTCTACTCTACCCTTCTTTTAAGAGTGTTTGAGACTTCATATAAGGCAGCTTTTAGAATTTACCAAGTATAGCTGGCTCTACCTACTCAAATTCTATTCCTAAGAAAATAGGAAAAAAAAAAATGAAGAAAATAACATTTGTATATTTTCTACTCTACCCTTCTTTTAAGGGTGTTTGAGACTTTATATAAAGCAGCTTTTAGAATTTACCAAGAATAGCTGGGCCTTGGTGCATATACCTTTAATCCCAGCATGGGGATGCAGTCAGTTAGATTTCTGTGAGTTTAAGGCCTGGTCTACAAAGAAAGATCCAGGACAGCAAGGGCTGTTACACAGAGAAACTGACTAATTGGCTCAACTTTGGGGATTATTTTCATTTCTGAATTGCTAATAAGTCTGAGTAAACTTCTAATTGGAATATTGTTGGAGTGGATATATATAAACCTTTTTTTTCTACAAAGTAAAATAAAAAAAAATTATGTGACAATAGTCTACTATCCAGTCCTTTCTAAAACTGTCATTTGTTCTTTCTAGGTCATATTGGGTAGGTGACATCAGCTGGACACATGACAGTCTTTTTCTGGCTTGTGTGTTAAAACGTGGTTCCCTGGTTTTATTGACCTGCTTAGGTGAATTGCTAACATTAGTTACACTTGGATGCTCTATAGAATTTGGGCCAGCTGAGTTTATTCCTCTTCATCCACTAATAACATATAGGTGAGACATTTGAATTGTTTTATTTACATAACTTACTGTCTTTGATGATTAATTTTATTGTGTTTTTACAAAAACAATTTCATCTCCAAATTTGTTTTTTTTCCTTACTGTGAGTCTATCATATCAATATCTGTTTCTTATCTGTTTCTAATTATTTATAGTTTTCTTCCTATTTCTTTTTGTGGCTTAATCCTGGTGAAAATTTGACATTGTGACCATGTAAGTATAAAGTTATTTAAATATTTAATAGTACTGAAAACTTACCTTTACTATAAAAGATAATAAAACATGACATTATTTTAAAAATGTGGCACTAAGTAATTCAAAATTAACATATTTTCTCAAAGGACAAAAACTGTTACTAATAGACTGAAGAGTTTAGCCATATTTTGATTTTAATTGTAGTCAGATAAATCAAGTTTCAAATACTAGTTTTTATATTTCCTAGTTGTATACAATGAATAAATTGTTCTTTAAGCTTCAGTTTCTTTTCTTGTGAAATGAGGATGACAGTAGGATTGAGGGAATGAAGTAAGAGTCTACATTATTATATGTATTAGATGTATATAGAGAGCTATTTTAAAAATTAATTCACCCGGTGGTGGTGGCGGCACACACCTTTAATTCCAGCACTTGGGATGCAGAGGCAGGTGAATCTCTGTGAGTTTGAGGCCAGCCTGGTCTACAGAGCGAGTTCCAGGATAGCTAGGGCTGTACATGAAGAAACCCTATCTTGAAAAAAACAAACAAGAAACCAAAAAAAAAAAAAAAAATTAATTTGTCTTAAAAATTGTGTGTGAAGTGGGTGCAGTGCCAATGGAGGCTAGAGGCCTTAGATGCCTACCCAGAGCTGATGGCTGTGACTGACATAGTTCCTGGGAATCAAACTCCAGCCTCCTGGCAGAGCAGGAAAAATTCTTAACTTCTGAGGATTAATGCGAGGAGAAAACTGTCAGTACCTGTAGTAAAAAGTTGTGGGTTTTTTGGTTTCTTTTTTTTTCTTTTCTTTTTTTTTATTTTCTTCTTTATTTATTTATTTATTTATTATGTATATAGTGTTCTGCCTGCATGTATCCCTGCAGGCCAGAAGAAGGCACCAGATCTCATCATGGATGGTTGTGAGCCAGCATGTGGCTGCTGGGAATTGAACTCAGGACCTCTGAGCCATCTCTCTAGCCCTGGTTTATTTTTTCTTTTTTAGCCTTCATAATTTATTTTATGTGTATGGGTGTTTGCCTGCATGTATGTCTGAACTTTGTGCATTCCATGCCCAAGGTGATAGAGCTTCTGTGACTAGAATCACATACAGACAGTCATGAACATCCATGTGGATGCTGAGGTCCTTAATTTGTATTTACTGAAATTTCCTCACATTCTCCTTTAAAGTTAGTATTTTAAGGCTTTTTTAACTAACTGATTTCTCTTTTCTAATAGATATTCGTTATTTGAAAAAATAAAATTTGAAAACCATGACACATTATTAAATAGTATAAAGATGATTGTTACACTCCTAATCCTCAGAGATAATAATTAACATCTTAGGGTATTGTCTTCTAAACATTAAAGATACTCATATTTCATTTATAATAATAGTAATATGCTAGTTTCTTTCAACATATGATGAATTACATGAAATATGTCATTTATTTTTTAAACTAGTAAAAAATTTTTTTATGTTAATATTTTGTGTGCCACAAAATTAGGAAAAAAACGGAAATGTGAAGACATATATTTTGGTCACTGTTACATTTCTTGGAAGTCAATTATACAAACTTAATGGTTTCATGTGTGTTTTACATGCTTGCTTTCTCATCATTCTATGTGATTTCTTTGCCATTTATTTTGAGTAATATGACTACTTCCTTTAAGATCCTTTTCTTGCTGATTCTTGGCTTTTCATGTTTGTTTGCTAGACCACAGCAGTTTACATTTCAAGATTCAAGTAATTCTGTAGATTCATCAGCTTCTGACAGTGACCCTCTGAGACAGAGGTTTTCTATAAAAGCACACTCACGGCTACCCTACCTCATTATTTCTGATGGATACATGGTTACGACCCTTCGATTTCTTGATGACCAGTCTCCAACAGCGCTCATGAGGTCATTGCTAATTGATTCAACCCAGAGGCTTGAGAAAGCATACCAAAGTATGATGCTATCTAAGGTACAGTGCCTTTTGATATTCCTTTCAAAGTTAAAACTGTACCAACAGTAATATTAGTCCTTTTGACACTAGAAGTTTTAATTCCTTTAGAATTACAGATCAAATGTTGTGCTTGGAAATCATCCATCTGTTTTTCCTATAGCCAAAGTACAAAGGGCTGAACTTGCGATCACTGGATTCCTTAAGGTCTAGCCTGTTAAAGCGTCAAGGAAAGGAGGGTTCAGTACATGACAGTGTCCCCAGATTTCTGCAGGCAGAGGAAACAATGAAGTTAAGTGAAACTACAGATGTTCAGGTACTTATTAGTACATACTGATTATATCTAAGAAATTCATTGATTTTTGCTGTTGTTAAAGGAAATAGGAATTTGAGAACAATACAGTGATCCTATGCATAAGACTTGAATGGTATTAAATATAATTTCCCCCCCTTGTGTTTAGGATTCTGAAGGAGAAGAAGCTAATGAAGTTGAACAATTTCCAAACAACTCATTTCCTTTTTGTAACCAAAGAAAAGATCTACAGTTTAGCATTATCAAGGAAGGGAGATTGGAATTTGCATCTATGTTTGATACAGTTCATGCAAAGGATGATTCCAAGGATACAGACAGAACCACGGCAGAACTACATTGTATCCAGAAAAAACTACTTGCAGCTTGGACTATAGGAATTTCGAAAAATGTAACAGAAAAAAACTTGATGTTAAATTACACAGTACTTTGCATCACTCATTTTTTCTATGTTCTTCAGTTTATAAAATGTCCTTTGCCGAAGTTTGACCTGTTTTTAAATGAGAGTCTGAAGCATAATGCATGGGTCCTTTGTGTCTTTCAACTGTTCCATCAGTGTCTATCAGTCCACTATTGGGATATGAGATACAGACAAGATATGGGCCATTTGATAAAGCTGACCTCAAATACTGTAAAGCTTTTTCTGACTCAGCAACAAAAAAATGGGTTCTTCTCAGAGAAGCTTTTAGCCTGTCTTTCTTTACTCCGAATGGTTGCTGACCATTTAGATGGCATTTGCAGTCTTCACCCTGAGGCTGTTTCAGCATCAGCTGATGGGAGGAGAGCAGCTGAGCTGGACTCACTCATGGTCCATATTTTTCCAGCTTCCAAGGAAGGTTGGTCCTGGGACTCATTTTTGAAGATTTGTCCTCAAGTCACAAATCTTGTTCAAAAGCCAGGCCACAGGTATGAATAGTAATTCTATTACTAAAACACCCTAGATTTCTTATGCTGTTTTAAGAAGTGTATAATTTGGTAGTTTTTAGTGTATTTATAAGGTTAGTTCTAATCTCAAACTACTTTCTCATTCCAGAAGGAAACTTTGTAACCATTTGGATCCCAGCATTAAAATATGTTACTGTAAAAATATTTAAGTGCCTGTTTCAGAATAATAGGTTATCCCTGATATAGCTGTATGATTTTAAACATTTATTTTTTTTGAATTTATGTGTATGTATGTGTGTATTGAGGGGAGAGTTGCCTATGGACACCAGAAGAGGACATTGGATACTCTGTGAGCTGCCCAATGTGGGTGCTGAGATGTAAACTCAGGTTCTCTGGAAAAGGAACAAATGCTTTTAACCCCCAAGGCATCTTTCCAGCCTCTCTATATAAATTTTTTTCTATATATATGAATTTTATGTGTCAATCAAAAATTGTTTCAGGTTTTTTTTCCAAACATTAAAAAGCACACACTTTTTTTGGTCTTGGGCAGCCATAGTGATTTGAAAGTACACAATAAAATTAAGTATATATGAAAAATATATATATATATATAGGTTCATAAACCCTTTGTGAAAATCTTATGATTTTTATTGTATGAATTTTCTGGACTATGATCATTAACTTGGTCAGTGTGTTCTGTTATGTCTGGGAAGAAATCAAGCAAAGCATTGCTTCTGAAGGGAGCTAAGCTTGTCATTACTCATGGAATTTGTTTTTGATGATTATCTAATTTTGTGTACAGATTGATTGCTCTTTGGAGACTATTGTACAAAAAAACTTTATGGTATCAAGCACAGTTAAGCCGAAGAATTCCTGACAGTGACAGACAGTTAACTGAAAACATACCACATGAAGTATCTTTTGTCAAGACACTGTTATGTCATCTACAGAGTAACTTGCAGATGGCTGGGGATAGCTTGACTCAAGCCTTAGAACTTACACCTATCAATGGTCAGTATCTTATAATCAGTTTCTAATTCCTTGGGTGTGTGAAATGATTAGATGGGCTTTGGTTTTCCAAAATGAATTCACTTATTTGATTTTCAGAATAATTTCAGGCTGGAGATGTATCTATTGCATTTTAAAATGAAGTAAGCAAAAGTCTTATAATTGCCTATAACTAATTGTTGGGTAAAATCACCCTTAGGTGAAGAGTGCTTTCTGTTAGGATCATATGAAAAATCAGTTCACCTGTGGGAGAAGGCTCTACAAGAGACCCAAGAGAAAGGTAAGGGGGTTTAAAACAAGTGACACTGTATTGGTAAGAATATAAATTAACATTCTGCAGATTTTAAAATTTACAATATCTTACTGTTCAGTAGATTGTAGGGAACTTGACTGTCAGAAATACTGTACTGTATTTGAAATTATTCTTGATTTTAAAATCTTTTCAATGCTCTCTAGTTATGTTTCCTATCCATCCCACTCCCACCCTGTTTAATGATAAAACCTGCATTGAGTGTTAATAGATAAGAAATTAGGTTTATATCCTAAACACGTTTTTCCCTTTTAAAGGCACCACAAATATTTAAATAAGAATATCAAATATTCTGTCACCTTCCTACAGACAGTGAGAGAACCACAGAGATAAGCCTCCTGGCCTTTAAGAAATTAGAGTTTCAGGTTGAATGGAGAGTTGGAGTTAAGTATGATTTGGATGGGGATTTTGTAATGATATAGGACTCTAGGTTCCAAAAGCTGATGATGTCTTTGATGATATAGGGATGAAGGTGTGACTGAGATGAAAAAAGTTCGTAGGTGGTGGCTCTGTACCTGGCCTGAGTGTAGTTAGTGTCTGGTCAGAGCGCCAGGCTTTACATTTGATTTCTGACCGTGCTAGCTTTGCAAACTTGCCTTTTTCATCTACTTAGTGTTTTCTCAGTGCTTTCTGTGGCCCAGCTCTGCACAAGGCATTAGAGATACCAAAAACTTCCTTTTGTTATAGTCACTTATGTGGGCTGGGAGCACAAGAAGAGCACATGATCTCACTTTGTAGCTCTGGCTGGCCTGGAACTTACTATGTAAATCAGGATGCCCTTGAACTCAGAGTTCTGCCTACCTCTGCCTCCTGAGTGCTGGGATTACAGGCAATATTTAACACTTCATTTATTTATTTGTGTGGAGGGTTACACATCTGCTACAGCATACCTGTGGAAGTCAGTTCTCTTCCTCCTCAGTGTGGAAACTGTCTTAAACTCACATTGTCAGGTTTGGTGGCAAGCACCTTTGCCCATAGAGCCATCCTATCAGCCCAAGACACATTTTATAAGTAAAAAACTGTTCAAATAAATACAGAAGGTCCCTGATTTATGATAGTTGAACTTCAACTTTTAAGCTTTATGAGTGCATGAAGGCCATATGTATACAGTTTTTCCTGAGCTAGAAGTAATGCAATATGAAATATGTATCTTAGAGTTTTATTGCTGTGATGAGACACCATGACCATGGCAACTCATATAAAGGGAAACATTTAATTGGGGCTTGCTTAAAGTTTAAAGGTTTTGTCTGTGATCATCATGGTGGGACATGATGATGTGCAGGGAGACATGGTACTGGAGAAGGAGCTGAGAGTGCTACATCTTGATCCACAGCAAGCAGAAGGAAACTCTGTACCACACTGGGCATAGCTTGAATGTAGGAGACCTCAAAGCCTGTCACCACAGTGACACACTTACTCCAACAAGGCCATACCTCTTAATAGTACCACTCCCTATGGGCCAAACATTCAAACACATGAGTCTGGGGGCCATTCCTATTCAAACCACCATAGTATACGATACTGAAGAGCAGCAGTGTGTCTCAGCTTCTCATCAGCTGTATGATCACAAGGGAAACAACTGATATCCCATGGTGTACTGTGAAGTTTGGTAGGTTACATATGTAATTTCATTTTAAAAGATTTATTTATTTTTATTTTATGTGTATGAGAGTTTTGCATGTATGTCTGTGTACTATGTTTATGCCTGATACCTATGGAGGTCAGAAGAGGGTGTTAGATCCCTGGGAACTAGAATTACAGATGTTTTTGAGGCCCCATGTAGGAGATAGGAACCCATCCAAGGTCCTTTGCAAGAGCAGCAATGATCTATCTTTTCAGTTGACCTAAATGCTCTCTTGATTTATGAAACGTTTTTTTTTTTTTTTTTTTTTTTTTTTTTTATGATGGGTTTATTGGGAAGTAACCCTATATACATCAGGAGCACCTTTATAGTGCATTTAGGAAAGTCACTTGGGTACATTTGTGGATGGAGGGTTGTGATTGTACATGGAAGCAAGGCCATTACTCAGATGAAGAGTGTGAACCAAGGCCACATCAGTGGTCATGGAATGTAGTTTATGTTCAACAGACACATAGCAAGTTTGATCAGTAGAAATTGTGATCGAGTAGATTTGTGAGAAAAGTTTAATATAATTCAGTTTTAAGACCTAGTTAACTGTATAAAGGAGAGGGATTCTGTGAATTAGGAAGTTTTAGATGAAAACGGTTTCTTTAATGAGTCAACTGTGGGCATGTGGTTTCTAATGATGGACACTCATAGTAACAGTAGCTTCAAAGAATGGACTAGGAATGGACTAGAATTTGGCAGACTCAGCTGATGTGGTGTTCCTCTGACCTACAAGGACCTACAAGAACTCAGGCTCCTTTAGCTCTTCTGCTCTATTAATATTAAGGCTGTTTTGTGGGTCTGTGCTCCAGCCATCACTTTATGTTATTGGGGAGGGGTGGGGATGGGGTGAAGAGGATGAGGGAAAGTGCACTGCCTAGCTGAGTTAACTCCTGTAATCAGCCACTCTGTAATATTTACACAATATTATGTCTTGGTACACATGAGGGCTTAATGTAGTAATCCCAAATTTGCCATTCTTTCACTCAGAACTTAACTTGAGATAGAAGACCTTTGTGCTCTGGTGGTGGGAATTTGCATCTCTTCACCTATCATCTCAGGACCTACCTAAAGAAAACAAAATAGAACTTAAAATGAAAAGACCTAAGTATTGTTGACTTGCTTTTATTTATTTTTGTTATTATTTTTTTGAGATCAAATCTCACTTTGTAGTCCTGTCTAGCCTAGAACTCTCTGTGAAGGTAAGGTTGGCCTCAAACTGAGAAGTCCTCCTGTGTGTGCCTCTGAGTACTGGATTCAAGGAATGATCCACCATTTTCAATTGCTGTCCTGTTTTTAAATAAATTCTTTATTGAAATATAAAACAGATGCAAAAATCCTGTCTGTGTGGCACTAGCCAGAGAGTAGTCCCTTGATACCATGCTTGTCAGTTTAACTCTTTGCTGTTTTAGGAGGAAGACATACATGCTTTCTTCAGTCATGGTATTATCTCTCTATCTTGTTTTAGGAGGAAGACGTACATGCTTTCTTCAGTTACGGTACTATCTCTCGCTCTTGTACTGCCACCTCTACTGCTATAATTTGAACGATGCTCAAGGATTATGTGATCACCTAGTAAGAGAGATACTCAGCTGGTCCCAGTTACCTGTAAAAGGAAGTAAAGATTGCTCAGGTATGCTTTTTTAAAATCTGTCTATATTTACTGTCTGTCTGTTGTCTGTCTGTCATGGTTTTCTGAGACAGGATTTTTTTGTGTAATAGCCCTGTTAGAACTCACTTTGTAGGACAGGCTGGCTTTGAATTCACAGAGATCAGCCTGCCTCTGGCTCCCAAATGCTGGTATTGAAGATGTGTGCCACCACCACCTGGCTTGTTTCTTTATTTGCAACAGGGTCTTGCTGTGCTTCTTTCTGATTTTTCTTGGTACTCATGTAACCAGCTCCATGCTGGCCTTAGCCTCATCAGTGCTGGGATTATAGACACTTGCTATCCCACTGACTTAGTAGCATTAATTTTTATTTCGAGAAAAGACTGTTTGTACATAAAAATTGCTCTGCCTTTACAGTGACTGTTATTCTATGTAGACTTTAGACGTCAGCTTCTCAATTGTAGCACAGCTGCTCTTTGAGATTTATCCAAGAAGTCTTTAAAATTACTTCTCTCAAGGGGTCAATATGCCCACTTGCTTCCTAATTGCTTACAGAAGTTATCCCCCACTCTGGGCTTCTGCGTCACTCATTTGACTGTCCCTTTGCTGAACAGAAGCTTTTCAGTTTTGTGAAGTCCTACTGAGCAGTTGTTGGCTTTAATTACCGAGGGAATGGAATTGTGTTCAGGGAGTTCTTTCCTGCACCTGTACCCTGCAGAGTACTACCTGTGTTTTCTTCTAGCAGTTTCAGGTTTCACTTTGAGGTCCTTAAACCTGTTGAGCTCATTATTGAGCCAGGTGATAGATAGGGGTTTAATTTCATTTGTCCACATGTGGACATCCAGTTTTTCTAGCATTATTTGCCTTCATTTACTTTCTATTGCTATGATAAAACACTGACCAAAAAAAATCCCAGAGCTCTGGAGGTAGAGGCAGGTGGATCTCTGAGTTCCAGGCTAGCCAAGACACACTGTCTGAAAGCAATTAAAAAATAACCCCCACAAACCACCCCCCAAAATACTGACCAAAAGAAACTTGTGTAGAAAAGGGTTAATTCACATTACAGCTTACAGTTAATTTTACTTTATCATCATGAAGGGAAAACAGGGCAGGAACTACAGGCAGCAACTGAAGCAGAGCCCCTATAGGAGAGGAGTGCTTCCTTGTTTGTTTGTTTGTGTTTGTTTTTCAAGTCAGGGTTTCTCTTTGTAACAGCCCTGTCTGTCCTAAAACTCACTCTGTAGACCAGGCTGGTCTCAAACTCACAGAGACCCATTTGCCTCTGCCTCCTGAGTGCTGGGATTAAAGGCATGCGCCACCACTGCCTGTCGAGGAGTGCTTCTTACTGGCTTGCTCAGTATACTTTCTTTTACCACCCAGGACTTCCTGCTCTGAGGTGGCACTGTCTGTAGTCAATCATCAACCATGGAAATGTCCCACAGACCTGACCACAGGCAATCTGATGGATGCATTTTTCTTAATTGAGCTTTCTTTTCCTAGATAGCTCTAGCTTGTGTTAAGCCAACATAAAAACTAATCAGGATACACCATTTACTGAAGTTGATGTCTTTTCCTCAAGTTGTATTTCTGACATCTCCGTCTAATATCTTTGTAATGGCATGTACTTACTTAGGTTTGGGTCTTCTGTCCCATTCTGTTGATCTACTTGTCTTCTTTGTGTTTTAATTACTGTAACTAATACAGCTCGAAATCTGATTTGGTGATCTCTTTAGCATTGTTGTTTTTGTTTAGGATTTCTTGGCTATGTAAGGTCTTTTTTGTGTCTGTATGAATTTTAGTGCTTTTTTTCTTTTCTATTTCTGTTAAGAACATATTGTGATTGGAATTATATTAAATATGTAAATTGATTTTGGCAGGATTGTCATTTTTAGTAATATTCTACCAATCCATGAACATGGGAGATCTTTCCGTCTTCTAGTTCCTTTACCTCATTGGTTAGGTTTAGTCCTATTTTATTTGTTTTTTTTTTTTGTTTGTTTGTTTTTTTTTGTTTTTTTTTTTGAGGTTATTGTGAATGGAAGTGCATCCATGACTGTTGTATATAAAAATACTACTTTTTTTTATAAGTTGTGTGTGTGTGTGTGTTTTCTGCCACTTTTCTGAACATATTGTTTGTTTCTAGAAGGTTTCTGGTGAAATTTTTGGTATTTTTTTACATATATTATCATCTTCTAGAAATTGGGATAGTTTGACTTCTTTTCCTGTTAGTGCCCTTTTATTTTCCTTTTCTTGTCTTAATGCTCTAGCTGTAGCTTCAGGCACTGTATTGAAAGGCAGCTGTGTGCACCACTATACCACCAGTAAACCTCAAGTACTGTATTGAAAAGGAGCAGGATAGTGAACAGCAGCTCCAGCTGGACCCAGGCAAGGGATCTGGGCCACTCACCTAGCTGGAATGCACTAGGATGTGACTCCGATGGGCTTGAGCATGTAGGGGCAGTTCAGGGAGGGGCCTTGGAGACTCTTCTGGGTGGTGTACACTACAGTGTGACACTGAATGGGCCAGAGAGTGGGGGTTGTCTTAAGTAATGTTATTTTTTTATGGTTTGTTGAGACTCTCCTGTTGGTGTGCTGTATCCCTAGATTCTGAGAAGTCTCATTGTGAGTTTGCAGTGACTGGAAATGTACACCCTGAGGCAGCAGTCAGAGTTGTCCAGTGCATGGCCCGTTTCATGGCTGCCTACTTCACCAATGAACCACTCTGCATTCTGCCACCTCACAGTGTGAATGTCCTTCCACCACTTCATCTTAAAACAGGTATATGGTAAACAAGTGCTTTCCTGCCTTGCTTTTTACACCTGCTATCCACAGTGTCCTACGGCAATTGCATTGCTTTAAATTGTCGCTCAAGCTTGTCTCCATTTCTGAACCCATTGTTATTCTTTCTAACTTCCAGGCTAGCTGAGATTATAGGTGTGGGCTGCTACTCACAGCTCATATTAATTTTCCTCCCTCCCTCCCTCCCTCCCTCCCTCCCTCCCTCCCTCCCTCCCTCCCTTCCTCCCATCTTCCCTTCTTTCCTTCATTCTGACAGTAGGAGGTATTGAAGCCAGAGCTTCATGCATGCTTGGCAAGTGCCTTTTCTGTTATTGCTTGTTGGGACAAGGGTTCATATAACCCATTAAGCTCACTGTGTAGCCAAGGCCTTGAACATCTTTTAATCCTCTTGCCTTTGCCTCCCAAGTATTGTGAGTAACATGTACTGTACCTGACTGCCAGCACACGTGTGCGTGCGTGCGTGTATGTGTGTGTGTGTGTGTGTGTGTGTGTATACATACAGCAGCCAGAGAAGACCTCAGGCGTCATCTTCAGGCACTGTGTTTGTTTTTGAGTTGGGACAGGGTCTCTCACTGGGTTAAAATACACCAAATAAACTGGGTTGGTGGACCTGCAACTCAGAACAATATTATCTCTGCTGTCTGTCCAGAGATTTCTGGCATACACAAGCATGCCTTTCTTTTTTTAATGTGGGTTCTGGAGCTCAAACTCAGATCTTCATGTGTGTAAGGAAAGCACTTTATTGACTAAACACTCTCTCCAGACCCCAGTCATCTTTTATTTATTCTTTTTAGATGCAAACTAATGTATTAAGCATCTTATATGTTTTTAATATTTCCTGAAATTATGGGCTCTATGGATAATGTAAAATGAGATAGATATAGTCTTTATCTTCCACACTTCACACTCTGCTATGAAAAATAGGAACATATTTCTAAATAGTTTACAATTGTTGTATATTGCAATCCAATGATTTTTAAAGACTTGTTTTATTTTTAATTATGTATATTTGTGTGTGTGTATGTATGTGTGAGCACAGTGCCCAAGGAGGCTAGAAGAGGGCATTAGAATTTGGAACTGGAGTTGTAGGTGATCATGTGTGCTGGCAACTGAATCCTATCTGGTAGAGTCTCTGCTCTTAACCACTGAGCCATCTCTGTAGTCCCTGATATGGTACACATGTATGTACATTTTATGTAACTCACAATACTCACCTTATTTTGTGTAATGCACTCATTCTATTCTGCTGTGTTTCTTTATTTTTTAAAGGATGCTTGCGTTTTATGAATAGCCCATATGGAAGCACATATTTTAGTCTTAAAAAAAATCTGTCCTTGAGGGTATTTTATTATTATTATTATTATTATTCTGTATGTCTCTTTTTTGTTGTTTTGTAAAATATTAACTAAAGAAATTTAATTATTTAAGGAGACATGAGTTAGAGTACATGTATGCAATTATGATTTCATTTTCTCTAATTCACTCACAGAGCATTCCCTACGACTTATTCCTCTACAACATTCTAAGGTGGCCAGTTTTGTTAGAGATCAGAATCTTTCAAATGTTTGGACAGTTGAATATGCCCTCGAATTATTATTTATTGGTGGCCTGATTCCAGAGGCTGTGTGGTTGGCACATAAACTTGGAGACTGGAAGACATCTATTTCCATAGGCGTGGCCTTCCAGGTTTTCTGTAAGCATGATCGCAATTTTGTGAGGTATGAATTCTTGAAGTATTTATTTATTTTGTGTGTGTGCTTTTGGGTGCATATGTATCATAGTGCCTATGAGAAGGTCAGGGGACAAGTTGTGGGAATCACTTCACTCCTTCTAGCATGTATGATCTAGCGATTGAAGTCAGGTCATAAGGCTTGGCAGGAGGCATTTTTACCTTGCCAGCTGAACGTATGGATTTTGGGATAAGCAAGTATTGCATAATAATACCATCTTAAGTATCTTTGTATTTTTCTGGTTGATATATATATGTATGTGGAATCCTTCTTTCTGCATTGTGTGATAGAATCTCTTTCTAATGTTTTTGTCCTTGCTTCATAGTGTGGTAACTGTTGAGCTTTTCAAATATGACTAATGAGACCAAGGAGTTGGATTTTCAATTTAAAGTATAGAAGCAAATAACTATCTGTTACAGTGATTACTGTGTTGGACAATGGCTTACTTACTTTTGCTGAAGCACGTATTTAATATATTCATGTCAGTAATATCCTATAAAGTCAATTAGATAGTTTGTCACTTGGAGGTTGTTTTTTCTTCCCTTCCTGACCTATCTTTACGTTCTTTTCTCAACTTACACCTTCCATGTCTCCTCTTTCTGAATAAAATCCTGCTATGTAGTATATGTAGGCTGGCCTCAAACTCACTATCCTTCTACTTGAGTGCTGGGATAATAGGCATGCAGTGGGTGGGGATTTGAGTTTAGGCTAAGTAAATTAATCTCTAATTTTTTGTTTTTCAAGACAGGGTTTTTTTCTGTTATGTCACTATGGACAGTCTCTTATGTAGTTTGTATATATGATCCAACATGTAACTGATCAGCACAAAACTTGTCACAGATATTTTAATGGGTGCTTTTTGTTTTTTGTTTTTGTTTTTTTTTGGGGGGGGGTTTTCAAGACAGGGTTTCACTGTGTAACTCTGGCTATCCTGGAATTCACAAAGATCTGCCTGCCTTTGCCTCCCGAGTGCTGGGACTAAAGGCATGTACCACCACCACCCAGCTTGGATATAAAATTTTTAAGGTGCTTAGATTTTATCATAAATAGGACAAAATATTATATTTGCATAGTGTATGATATAGCATTCAGGAGCATAATGGAGAGAATGGGAATAGCAAGTCAGGTGAAGGCCAGAAACATTCTGTGTGGGAGGTGTCCTTTTAGATGTACACTGGAGGGTAGGTAGCACTTTGATGAACTGAGTAGCTAAGGAGTGAGAACATCTTAAGTGTGAGCAAAAGCATTTGGCAAAGAAGTTTAGGGTTAGTTTGGGTAGAGTACATGGGAAGGATGGCAAGTGAGAATGGAGAAATATTGTGTCCTCTGAAAACCCTTAACGTAGTGTTTCCTTTCTGTAAGCAAATGACTCCATATATTTTTAAATATGTTTACTTCTTGATGTAAAAATCTTTTCTTTTTCTAAAAATTTTATTTCTTATATTTGATGTCATTTCAGGTCCAAGAAAAAGGGTATGGACCTACCATTAAATATGATACCAGCACAGATTTTCCAGGAAAAACTACAGTGTTTTTTAGGTCAGCCAGTCTCTTTGGAAGCAAAAAATGAAAAGGGATCAAAATATAAGCAATTTACAGGTATGTTACCTACATGCATTCTAAGTGTATCAGGTTAATATAAACCTGTGCTATTACAAAAGCTTATGAATATTTAGAAATATGAACACCTTGACAAAATTATCTATAATCATGGGAGCATCTAAGTTGATGTCAGAGGAGCTGGTATGGTAGCTTAGAGGCAGAGCACTTGCCTGGTATATGCTTTGCTCAGGGTCTGATCCTGAGCATGGCAAGAGGAAGGAAAACTGGTGTCAGTGAAAACATACTGTGGGCTGCGGATGCAGCTCAGTAGTAGAACATTTGCTTGAACATTCATCCCTTCCTCCTGCCTCATGCTCCTGTGTGCTGGGACTACAGGCATGAGCTGCTGTACCTTGCTAATGTTGCCCTGTTTCATGTTTGATAGATCCCATTGAAGAAGAAGATGCTAATCTGCTGTTTGGGTCTGTGCAAGAAGTGCTGAAAGCGTCCGTCATGGCTGATGCAGATATTGTTTCGGAGACACTGCAGCTATTGATGAACTCTGCCAAGGACTTCAGTAAGAAGCTGTGGGGCTTGGTACCTGTCGATTTGTATCTTCCAGCACCTCCGTTGTATTGTCCCCAGCCTGCTGTTCTTAGTGAAGTAAGCTCAGTGCACTCTTAATGAGAGTTGATTCTTGTCTACTTTTAAAGATAACCTGATAATAGTGATCTTGTTACAAATGCAAGAGCTGTAGATAAACTTCTGATTTCCAGCAAAGTATGGCCTTAGGTAACATACCAAACAGCTGTCTAAGAAATAGGTAACTGTTCTGTTGTCCTCAGGAACATGGTGACAATCTTCTTCTAAAAGCTGAAAAAGATAACCGCCAAAAGCTGTCTGGAATCCTGCAGAGAGTGCTCTTGCTTTTCCGGGCAGCTCGATGTTCTTTTGCTGTAGCTCAGTGGTACATCTTGCAGCTGAGGTGGGCAAGAAAAGTCATGCAGAAGGTATGGACTGTCTTAGTCATTCAAGTGTTGTGCAAGACTCTGAGATGTGCTCACATTCACTCCAAGTGCTTCTCCTGCCCTGTGAGTCAAAAATTTGAGCTTATTTACAGTAAACAACTCAGGCAAGGTTTTTCTGTGAGTCTCTGGGTTGGCTCACCCTGTAAGGTAATAGAAAGTGTCACATAGAGTAAATTCCTCCAGACTGTACATACTCATTCCACCCCTACACCATGGGAAATTTCTTCTGTTTAGGACTCCATCCCCACACTTAACCCCGAGCTCTGTCCTGTGGCAACCTCAATGGTTCCAAGCGTGGCAAAATTAAGAGTGAATCCTTGGCTGTTTACTACCAGGAATCTTTTTTCCTGGCTAGGACTTCCTTTGCTGTCCTCTGAGATGTGCAGTTTGATTGTGTGCCTCCCATGCCCTTCCATCCTGATTTCTGTTGACTCACCTGTACTCAAGCTGCAGCTCACTGCAGGCTGCTTGTGCTGTAGCATGGGATCTTTGCTGCTTATGTTTTGTGTGGGTTTTCTTGATTGCCTGGCCTTGTAGTTTGCTGTAAAGCTTGTTTGCTACTGATGATTAACATATTCTATTATTCTTTTCAGATTCGAGTGAAAGGGTCCCTTCCTTCGCTTAGTTCTTTCCCTGAATCCTTACTTAATTACTGTAAAGGAGGGATAGCATTCATTAGACCTGGAGCGGCTGGAGACCACAAGCTTGATGAAGTTTCCATCAAAGCACTAGGTTTGTCAGAAATGAGTTACTCTGTTAGAACTCAGCAGCATATGAACTGTAATATGCTTTTCACCTGGTTTGGGGAAGTTTTAAACTATCGACTCTAGCTGATACTCTACTTAGGGGCTTGCACTTAGACACTCTGACACTTATGTATGTATGTAGATGGCTTTATAGGCATGGTAGTAAATTAAAATTTTATTACATATAAGACAAATCGTGCCAATTATGACGCTATTGTTGCTTCCTTATTTAAATAATTTTAGCACTTAAGAATGCCTTTCTTGTAGTCATTCCTTTGCAGTGAAGATATACTTACTGCCTCAGTGTTAAGTGGGCAGGCTTTGAACCTGTCTGTATGACAGGTTGATTTAACCCCTGAAACCCACATGGTAGAAAGAGAACTGACTCTTGCATGTTGCCCTCTGATATTCATGTGAAAGCCTGTGGGACATGCACAACCACAAACTCAGAAATTAGAAACGTGCCTGCCAGGTATGAAGTCCTGGGTTCAATTCCCAGTGCTATAGTAATATTCTGGGTGATGTACATTATAGAGTTGTGTTGGAACTGAAAAATATCTACAATATACTATGAATTTATAAAGCACATAAATCAGAAGAAAGTAGATTAATCATTTACTCTGTAAATTTGTTTTTATATCATCATGCAACTAATATTTGTAAAATATTCTAGAATAATAGATATTAAAGTTCTGGAATGAGCGCCATGACTTGTATATAAGGTGTTTACAATGAACACATTTTTGTTTCTGTTGTTTTGGAATGTGAATGTGTGTATTCTGATTTACATGTTTGTGTGTGTGTACGTGCAAGCATGTGTATGTATGCATGTGGAAGCCAGAGGTTGACATCGGTTATCTTTCTTGATAGCTCTCCACCTGATAATGGAGGTGCCTCAGTTGATTACAAAGCTCATTGATTTGGTTAGTCCAGCTAGCCACCTTATTCTGGGGATCCTCCATTCCCCCCCCCCCTCTTTTTTCAAGACAGAGTTTTCTCTATGTTGCCTTGGCTGTCCTGGAACTGACTCTGTAGACTAGGCTGTTCTTGAATCTCAGAGATCCACCTGCCTCTGCCTTCCTAGTGCTGGGATTAAAGACATGTGCTGTCATTACTTGTTTGCCTATTTGTTTGTTTTTCCAGACAGTGGTTTTCTGCATAGCCCTGTTTTCTGCATAGCCCTGGCTGTCCTGGAACTGGCTCTGTAGACCAGTCTGTCCTCATACTCACAGAGATCAGCCTGCCTCTGCTTCCCAGGTGCTGGAATTAAAAGCATGCACCACCACTGCCCAGCCCATCCTCACCTCTTAAGTGCTAGAGTTACAGTGTGCTGCCACTCCGGCCCAAAGTCTGATCCTTGTACTTGATTAGCAGCAAGTACTTTACTCATTGAACTATCTACCCCCCCCCACATTTTTATTTTATAATCATCAGAATAAGTACATTTATTTTGAAAACAGATAATCTGCAGATGTAATACATAATTTTCTTTTTCATCTATATTTTTTAGGTTGCTTTAGAGAACTTTGTGCTTTGTGCTGGATGCTGCATATCCGGGATAAATTATCATATAGTTGTAGGCAGTATCAGAAGGCAAGAGAAAATGTGAAGGTGGAAAAGGTATTTATCAACTCAAGAATAGAAAATAAACATTACTTGGAAAATTATTGCTTAATAAAAGAGTTTACTCCTTGTAGTACAGTATCTTTTGAACTCATCTGATCTGTCCATGTAAACTGAAAATACAACCTTCTCCATGCCCACACAGGACCACGGAGTGGAATTTGATTCTTGTGTGGTTGAGCACTGTTTTCATGCACTGGAGTGGGCCTATAGAATGCTACCATTCTCTCGATTTTTTAATATGGAAGAACTTATTCAGGATATAATTTTGAGCCTTATTGGAGAACTGCCACCAATCAGGAAGGTAATAAATAAAATCTGAATCATAGATCCTAAGGGATTTTTGTTTTAGTTAAGGATGATGCTGCCTTTTCCTGTCAAGTGATTGCACTTTGCATAATGTCCTCCAGTTTCAGAAAGACAAGCATGATCTCACAGGTGGACTAAATAAAGCTCATGGAAGCAGAGAGCAGAATGGTAGTTGCCAGGCTAGGGGTGTCTAGAAATAGGGGGGTGTTAAAAGTACGGTAAAAAAAGGGTCATGTCACCGCTCACTACATCATCATCCTTCTTAAGCCTCCAGTATCTTCTATGTTTCCTGGAACAGCTTTTCCATAGCTCCTTGAGGTTAGTAGACTGATCTCTCTCAGATTCATTTCAGTGCAATATTTTCCACAGGAGAAATTTTTTTTTTTTTGTTGGTTCTAAGTGCATAGAGAAAAATAAACTATTTCTTGATTTTTTTTTTTTTTTTTTTTTAAGTGGAGGTGATGAGCAGATGTTGACTTAAGGATCCAGATTTGCATTTATAAGATAAATTAGTTCTTGTAGCTAGTGCACAGCATGGTGACTGTAGTTAATGACATGCTGTGATTTCCCTGAAATTTGATAAAGGAGATCTTAGGTTAAGTGTCTTACACTGTTTGTGAATGCAGGGATTGCTGTTTGGTGATTGACATCCTAATTTGGCTAGGATATTCAACATGCATTATACATCAGGTTATCACATCCTATACGTTGAACATAAATAGTTTTGTCAAATACTTTAAAATATAATAAAAAAGAAAGAAAACCTATGCTGATTTCTGGTTGCTTGGTTGAACATCAAAAGATTATTAAGTAGACATTTGTGTTTTGACTTAAAGTGTTTGAAGAATTAAAAAGAAAAGAAACTGATGTTGGTCATACAATTTTTTTTTTTCCTGAAGGTAGCAGAAATTTTTGTGAAAGCATTTCCCAATCCTGAGGCCATAAGGGTTCCTTTAAGAGAAAAGTACCACTCTCTTCAACAGAAACTCAGACATGGGGTTGTGAAAGGTATTTACTATTTCTCATGTTTGATGGATGCATTGTTGAAGATTTATTTTTATTTATATGTATATGCTGTGTGTGTGCAAGTGCCTTTGGAAACCTCAGTTCCCTTAGAGCTGGAGTTACAGGCAGTTATGAAAATATTTGTTGTCTGCCACCTAGGTATCTGAATTTCTGCCTTAATGGTAGAGAATGAGCAAATAGATGCATTACCCCACTCCAGAGCTAATTAATGGGGTTAGTCTGTTGCTAGATGGAGCTGACTTCACGTCATAACTCTGTCGGTAATCGTGTCTTAGGCAAGTTGCTCAATCTCTTGAGGCCTCATTTTTTAATTTATAAGCAAAATGGTTATTCTGTTACCTTCTTGATCGATATGTATTGAGAAAGAATTAAACAAAGTAAGAGACTTATATAAAATGAGCAGATAGTCTAGGGTGCCCTGTAGGGAGGATCATTTGAGCCCATGCTTTCAAAACCATTCTGATTAACACAACAGGATTTCACCTGAAATGTGAACTAAAATAGAGCATATGGTCTTCACATATTTCATGGACTTATTGAAAACTAGTGCTTTTTCTCCTTGCTTAAAGTGATTTTATCCTGTCCAAGTTTTTGTTTTTTTTTTTTTTTTTTACTGTGGCAAAATGTATAGAACATAAAACCTCCCATTTAACCTTTCTCTTCCCTCCCTCCCTCCCTCCCTCCCATTTGCCATGATGGACCCTCCCATTTGCCATGATGGAGAACAGACCCTTGGCCTCTTGGCTTCTTATTCATGCTCTGCCACCAAACTACAGCAGTCATGGAAAATCTTAAATGTCTTAAAAGTACTGTGTACTTTGAGTTGTGCATTGCACAATTATACTTACAAATTTCTTGATAGTTATTTATTTATTTATTTTGGTTTTTTGAGACAAGGTTTCTCACCTTGCTCTGTAGACCTGGCTGGCCTTGAACTCACAGAAATCTGCCTGCCTCTGCCTCAGGAGTGCTGAGACTAAAGGTGTGTGCTTCCAACGTCTGGCTGATCCTTCTGTCTTCTAAAATATCTTCTATGTATTAATAATGCTTACATTTTTAATAGACAATCCTGGAAAACCTTAACCTTGCTGTTATTTATCATTACATGGAGTAAGAAAGATTTAATTCTTTTTTCCTTTCATTAGGAATAGAAAATAATCTTTGTTATTCTTTATTCATAATTATATCTTTTTTTAAGAAGATAAAATTGCTTTTATTTGCTCATTTCTACATTGAGACACTTTTCAGTGACACCATTGGCCTGAGATTTTTTTGGTAGTCTTTTCCTACTACATAATTGCAACCAGTCATTTTATGGGGCTTTTCCTCTGAACCAGTTCTGCAGAGACTTATCTATCCCTTAATTTCTCTTTGTCATCAACCTTAAGTAGGTTGATTTGGTGCTCCTTAAAAGGGCCTCAACTGTCTTCACATAGAAGCTTCTCATGGATGGATGCCAGCAAACAAAGCCTGTGAGAGCTTCGTGAGTTAGGCTGACAGGATGAAGGAGTTCTTCAGAACCTTTTAGAAAGTCATATGAACATCCTTTACACCTTCTTCAACTGTGGCGGGTTTTGTTTGTTTGGTTTTTAGATGTGGCTGACTTATAATCCTCCTGCCATAGCCTCCTGAGTTGGTACAAGATGCACAGGTGCACATGTCCACACCTGACTTACCCAAAAATTGTTTTCCCTGAGGATATACTTTTTAAAAAGGGGAGAGAGGGGGATCTTAGTTCTTTGCCTTTTTTTGTTCCTTAATGAAAGCCTTATTCAGCTTCTAAAGACGTAGGGTTTTTTGGTTTTGTTTTGTTTTTGTTTGTTTTTCTTTTGGTTTGGGTTTTTTTGTTTGTTGTTTGCTTTTTTTTGGGCCTAGTTTCCAACAAATGCAAAAAAAGAAAAAACAAAACAAAACAAAACTGTAAGAATATGGAAATAAGCCTTAGTAGTTAGTTTGATTCCTTGTCCCTGACAGACTTAGGTCTCTCTTTCTCCCTCCTTCTCCCCTTCCTTTTCTTCCTTCCTTCCTTTGACCTAGCCTTGCTAGGCTGACCTGGAATTTAGTGTGTAGACAAGTCTGGCCAGAACCTGTTCTGATCCTCCTGACTCTCCCCCGAGTGCTGGGATTACAGACATGTACTATACTGTGCCTGGCCTTAAATTTTGAGTTGAAACGTTTTTAATGACCACTAAGGCCTTTGGTTCCTTTTCTCCTAGGTCCACAGACTGAAGAACTGATGTCGGTGGTCATGCGTTCTGTCCATAAAGTGAGGTTAAAAGCCCTGAAACGTGTGCAGAGGAACATAGGTGCTTCTGAGATGAATGTCTGGGAACCAGATGAAGAGGAAAAACCAGATGCTGCTCCCGCCTCTGACAGGCTGTCCCTAGGGACTAGTTTGAGCAGAAGTACACTCACAGAGCTGGGCAGTTCCCTGGCACACAGTGATGCAGACACATTCTCTGAAACCTTGTCTTCTGAAGAAAAATCTTGGATACACTTCTATCAAAGGTACACCTGGGAACCCCTAATGCATTTGCCCTCTCCTGGAAAAGAGTGCAAGTGATGAGCTGATATCCAACCCAGAGACCTCAACAAAATAAAACATAGATAAGTGCCAGCCTCTATACTCACAGGAAATTCATTGAAAATATTACTGACATTACTGAATGATTTTGACATCTAAGATGCCAATCAAATGAGTAGACAAAATTCAGTGGAGGATTTTGAGTTCTTTATTTTTCAATAATCTTTAGATTTTAGTGTATGTATTTATTTTGAGACAGGATCTTATTATATAGCCTTAGCAGGCCTGAAACTCAAAGATCTGCCTTCCTCTGCATCTTTTTTAGTGCTGGGATTTAAGGTGTGACCACCATGCCCAGCTTAACCTTTAGACTTAAATACAAGTTGAGCATACTTAATTTTTTTTTTATTTTTTTTTTTTTTTTTTTTTTTTTGGTTTTTTGAGGCAGGGTAACTGTATTACTTTGGAGCCTGTCCTGGAACTAGCTCTGTAGAACAGGCTGGCAGAGATCCGCCTGCCTCTGCCTCTCCCTCCTGAGTACTGGGACTAAAGGTGTGTGCCACCAACACCTGGCTGGAACATACTTAATTTAAAAATCTAAAATATGAAATTCAGCTTCAAAATCCAGTAAAATACTGAAAGTTGAAAGTTTACGCCTGATTTCTTGTGACAGGGCAAAGTCAAAATGGAGGCACACTAAGAATACTATATAAACTTACCTTTAGGCCACTAGATATAAGAATTATGGGATTATTTGAAATGCACATGAATCTTGTGTTTGTTTTGTTTTTAGTGTTGGAGCAAGAACCCAGGCTCTTGCTCATTACAGAAAATTGTTTCATCACCAAACTATACCATACTTGGACCTTAATTCCAAGATATCTCATTACATATATACAAATATTAGTGCCCCTCTCAAAAAATAAACCCACCCACACTAAAAATACTTCTAGTCCCAAGAATTTCAGATAAGGGATACTCACCTATAGTTTCACATGATTGGGTTAGCCTTGCTATGGTTTGAGGACCCAAAGGAGGGAGCTTGCATGCAAGTTTTTAGAACTTGTTCATAAATTCTTTGTTTGTGGTATAAACCTGTGATTTAAGCCATTGGATTTTGTTTATTTTGGTTAACATTTTAGTAACTACAATGAAATATGCCTCATTTGACTTAAAAACTATATAATCAATAATAACTTACATCTTAAGTTAAATTATATCTACTGCAAGCATACTTGAACAAGATCTAATAACATTTTAATTGTGTACTTGTTTAACAAAGCAGCTGTCCTTAAATACATAAGCATACTTTACAGGCTTCCTTTGTGTATTCTGGGTATGCAGACATGCATTCACCTGGGCCCAGGTACCTTACAGCTTTTCTCTTACTGAGAGATCTGAGAATCTAGCAGCTGAAAAGTCACCTGACAATTGTGACTGACAACTAAGGTGCCTGCCAGTAGGCTTGATAGCAGCTGTTTGTTTTCATTGTAGTTTGAAGAGATCCCAAGTATTTGTGTAATTGAACTACTTGTTCACACTGTGTGGGTGCAGGGGTTGATAGTCAGTGGAAAGAGAAGCATGGAACTCTAGATGTATATAGGTGACTTGTGAGTTTTGTTGACTTTGGTTTTCTAAGTTTTTGTTAGAGAACCATTTTTCACCTTCTGAATGAACATTTATAGTGTGTGTGTGTGTGTGTGTGTGTGTGTGTGTGTGTGTGTGTGTGTGTGTGTGGTCTATGGGGGATAAGCACATGCCATTGTATTCCTCTGGCAGTCAGAAGACAGCTTGAAAGAACTGGCACTCTCCTTCCATTGTGTGGATTTCAGGGATCAAACTCAGGACATGAGGTTTGGCTGCAAGTTCTTTTACCCACTGAGCCATCATCCCAGCCCTGGTGAACTTTACATGAATACACTTTGATTTCTTTTAGTGCCTAGTTTGCATATTGTACTTTTGAAACTATTTATTTTTACCTCATGTGTATGTATGTGTACAATGTGTGTGCCTGGTTCCTATGGAGATAAGAAGGCATTTGATCTCCTGAAACTGAAATTACAGGTAGTTTTGAGCTGCTGACATGGGTGGTAGGAGCAGCAAGTGCTCGAAGCTGCAGAGCCATCTCTCCAGCCCGATGTCCTTCCGACCTTATAGATTTGTCTGCTTCTTAGAGATCATGTTAGCTCATCATGCTATTTGAAGGATGGTAATTGAAACACACAAAAAGATACATGACTTGATCAGTACAGAAAATGTTTTAAAATCTTTATGAGATCAATTTTAATAAACACTGGCTAAATTTATCTTTTCTTTTTCTTTTTCTTTTTTTCTTTTTTCTTTTTTTTTTTTAAAAAAAACCATAGACGTGCCCCAAGTCATATGGAATTAACACTGGTTGGTAAGCCCAGTGATAAAAAGAAAACATGCAATCAGAAAGAGAGCTCCCCGAGGAAAGAAGATCAGGACACGTTAGGGAAAAAAGCACTTCCTACAGTTGGTGTTTGGGAATTTGAGCGTGATGATGATGAATATATTAATTTCCTTGAGCTTTTCTTGAGCTATGTTCTTGAAAGGGACCTTTGTTCCAGTGATCCTGGCATTCCATTTCTGACAAGTTTTTCTGGGCACCTCAGAGAACATGAACTTAATTCTTTACTTTTTGATGTGCATACAACATTAAAACGACGCCAGAGCAAAGCCAGAAGTGAGAATGTGTATAGAGCTGGGTCTTGCTTTGCTGTCATTCCTGAGTCACATGAATGTGAACAACTCTTCTCTCTAAACAGCATGTGTGCCCAAAATGTAGAAAGCCAGGTGGTTTCAGCTCCAGATCTAGTTAACCAGTCAGCAAGCACTTCCAAGAACCTTCTACCTGAAATCACAAAAAATGAAAGAAAGGCAGGATTGTTTGGCTTAAAACAAAAGCCAATTTATAGAAGTCAGGATGACAAAAGAGAGAAACCTCTAATGCAGAGACCATCAAACCAGTGCTTTTGGATTCCCAAGTCCATTCAGCCTGGAGGATACCGTTTCCGAGCAGTTGAGTGCAGTGCTGCCAGCCCACAGGAAGATCTTCCTCTGGCACTTGGGAACAGGTTCGGACACATTGGGAGGCTGGTGGAGTGGATGGTACGGTGGTCTGACCGAAGACTCCTCTGTGACTCTGGAGTCCCTCAGCCGTCCTGTACATATAGTCCAGTCCTTCGTGTAAAGACCTCGGCAGCTGCCATTCTTACCTCTCTGTGGCTTCTGGCTCAACCCTACTGTGCTGCATATAGGACAAAAAACAGCATTATTAAGGTAATTATATCAACCACTTACTACAAATGAAGAAAGGACCATTTAAAACTGTTTAAATAACATCAAAGTAACAGAAAGTTAATGTCAGTATTAGTTATACTCTCTATCACCCAGTGTGACAGAGTTTTTCTTTCTTAACGAGATTCCTTCCTCTTATTCTTTAATAAAATTACAGTGGCCTGGCCAATGTCCGTGCACTTTTAATCCCAGCACTCAGGAGGCAGAGGCAGGTAGATCTCTTGAGCTTGAGACCTGCCTGGCCTACAAAGTGAGTTCTAGGACAGCCAGGGATACACAGAGAAAAGCTTTCTCGAAAAACAAACAAAAACATAAAAACAATGACAGCAAAAAAGGAAAATTACAATGAAAGTTCTTTTAGGGAGGCCGTGAAGGTTTTAGGTTTTATGTTGTTTGTACGCAATAAAAAGGGAAGAAAATGATTTGGTGACATTACTGGTAACATGCTATGCTGAAGAAAACTACTGAACAGTATGGGTTTCCCTCCCAGACCCCAGGTTAGGCACAAACCACACCCAAACACCTGTTTCACAGAGAGACTCTTTATTAAGCAGGGAAGAAAGGTTGAAGTGTCTTTCTGACTCAGGCAGAAAAACAGCAGTAAATGTTCTTGCAGGTGTCTTTCTTAGGAGAAGAAGGGGAGATCTATGTTAGAATGAGCTAGGGTGTGGTGGTAAAGGAGATAGCAGACAGGGGAGAAGGGAAATGGGACAGGAGGAAAACGGACTGCCTCTGGGTAGAGGAGACAGATGTAGGTCAGGAGGAGGAAGTGGCCAAGTAAGGAACTAACCCTTGGTGGGGAGCTTTGGGAATATAATCTCAGGGATTTTAGCAAAGACAGGGAATGGGGGAGAAACAAATAATTGGCTATACAAATGCAGTAAATACTTAATGAATGTTTAAAAGACTTAATCATCTCTGTAAAACATATGAATGATTTAAAACTATATTTTAAAACGTGGTTCCATACGCCTTACAGAATTCTATGAATGGTTTCTTTAGGTGCTAGAGAATCATTGCCCTGAGTCTCAAGTGGAAGCCAAGGAAAACAATGCTGATGTCGACTCCACAGTTGCAGTAGCAGTTCAGGCTGGAGCTGAGGAGAGAAATGACCAGAATGAATGTTGTCAGAGCATCTGGAAGTAAGTGTTGTGTGCCCTCCTTTTCTTTTCTTTTCTTTTTTTTCTTTCTTCCTTCCTTTCTTTCTTTCTTTTTTTTTTTTTTTTTTTTTTTGAGTGACCATCACATATGTATTAGCAATGTGAGCCAGAGTTAAAGGATTTTTAACATACATGCCATCATCAGACTTCTTAATCTTGTCTCCTGAATGTTGTCAGAGCATCTGGAAGTAAGTACTGTGTGCCCTCCTTTTCAACAGTCTGTTGGCTTAAGAAGAAGACTTGAGCTCTTAAAAATGAAAGGGATGAGCATTTCTTTGAACTAGAGAAATAGAAAGTAGGCTTCCTGAAGTACTTTGGCAATTCATTGTTAACTGTGTTTCTTCCATATTGATCTAGCTTGTATCTCCTGAGGGAGGCTTCCTCCTGAAAGACCCCTTTATAGGTCCCTAAGAGGACACACGTGGAGGGCCCCAGAAAGGGAAAATAGTTAAGATCTCCTGGGTAAACTGGGAGGGGGAGTAGAAAGAAGGGGATAGGAACGTGGGGGAACTGAAAAGACCCTGAGGGAGGGATGGAGGTGGAGAGTAATGAAAGAGATATCTCCATAGAGGGAGCCATGTGTGGTTGGGGAGAAATGTGGTGCTAGAGAAATTCCCAGGAATCCACAAAGATGACCCCAGCTCAGACTCCTAGCAGTAGTGGAGAGGGTGTCTACTGGCTTTTCCTGCTCTAATTGTCATAGAACCTACATCAGTAACTGATGGAAGCAGATGCAGTGACCCACAGCCAAGCACTAGGTTGACCTGGAGTCCATTCAGTTGAAGAGAGGGAGGAGGGATCATATGAGCAAGGGACATCAAGATCATGATTGGGAAAACCACAGAGGCTGCTGACCTATGCTAGTAGGAGCTCATGGACTATGGACTGACAGCTAGGGAACCTGCATGGGACCAAACTAGTCCTTCTGAATGTGGATGACAGTTATGTGGCTTGATCTGTTTGAGGGGGTGGTCACCTGGCAATGGGACCAGGACCTATCCCAGGTTCGTGAACTGGCTCTTTGGAGCCTATTCCTTATGGTGGGATACCTTGCTCAGCTTGGATGCAGCAGGGAGGGGCTAGGTCCTGCCTCAGCTTGGTTTGCCAGACTGTGTTTACACCCCAAAGAAGGCCTTACCCCTTTTGAGGAGGGGAGGGAGGAGAGAAGGAGGGATGGGAGAGGGAACTGGGGTGGTTTTGTAAAGTGGAAAAAAAATTAAATAAAAGAGAAGAGGGGGAAAAAAAAGGAAAGACCCTTTTCCTGTGAGCCAACAGTAGGAGCACTAGTATTACGTTTGAACAGTTAGTTTTCTGTCACTGTAACAGTATACTTGAGGTAAGCAGCTTACAGAGAAAGGGTTTATTTTGGCCTACTGTGTTAGAGGTTCCACCTCATGGTTGGTGGCCTTGTTGCTTTAATCTGTGGTACATCATGATGGAAGTACATGGTAGAGGAACCTACTACTTCTTGGTTAGGAAACAAAACAGAAAGAGGAAGGAGCCAGCTGTCAAGATCCTCTTCAAAAGCTCAAATGCACTGACCTATGAACCTCCCCAAGGGCCCTGCCTCTCCCAGCTTCCTCCACCTCCCGGCACTGCTACCCCATTAGCTAAGCCTTGGAGGGACAGTAACCTGCATGTGAGGAATATCACAGCAAAAGCCCTCCTAATATGAAGACCCCTTTGTGAGAATACTAACTTTAGATTCGCTGAATTTAGTCTAGTGTTTTCAGTAAGTGAAAACTACAACCTTCCATGTATCAGAAATGAAGAAGCGTTTTTTAAAAAAGACTTAGAAAATATGAAGATGACATTTGTCATTGATGAAAAGAACAAATTAGATGAAAGGAAGCTGTTTGTCTCCAAGAATGAGTTGTGATTTTCAGTGCAACATTTTTGTTAGCATAATGCCAGCTGAAACAGGAAATCCTGAAGTGAAAGAAATTGATGTTGAGATTGTTCCTACCACTCATAAGGCTGAGAAAGGATGTGTAGATGTTGACGAGAATCATTCAGAAGAAGAAACATTTACACGGGATGAAAAGGATATGCACATCTCAGACTGTGAAGGTCAGTTTATGTAGATCTTAATTAAAAATTGGTAACATATAAAATATCTCTTTTATTCTGAAATATGTTTGACATTGCCTAGAACTAAAACTAAAAATTTTTTTATTTTATTTTCCGAGACAGAGTTTTCTCTGTCCAATCCTGGCTGTCATGGAACTGGCTCTGTAGACCAGACTGGCCTTGAACTCACAAGAGATTTGCCTGCCTCTGTCTCCCTAATATTGAGATTAAAGGCAAATATTGAGATTAAAGGCATGCGCCACCATGCCCAGCTAGAGCTAAAATTTATGTGCTATTTTTTGAAATTCTGAGCATGTTAACTTGTACCTTGGTTTTCAGATAAAAACAAGAATGTGCAAGACATTTTTATATTAGTAGCTTTCTGAACTGAAACCTCTTGCCATGCCCAGGTAGTAATTTAACCTCTTGATTCTTGTGAGCCAATTCAGCCTCTCCCCAGCAGCTGTGAGCCTCTCCCCAGATGTGAGCCTCTCTGCAGCTGTGAGCCTCTTTGGAAAGAATCCTAGGAGCTTTGCTTGGACTTGTACAAACTGACACAGTTTTCTCAGGGCTCTCTTAGGATTTAGTGATGAAGAGGAAATAGCCTTTAGGTGTTTTTTGAAATGTATTTGTACCGGGTTAAAAAAATATTTGTTACATTGTTTTCTTTAATATCCCCTAAACCTTAGAGAGAGAAAGAGAAAGAGAAAGCTAAAAGATTATCTTTCAAGGTGTGCATTCCCTTCATTTCTAATCTTTTTAGAAGAACCTGCTGGGCATCTCAGAGATTCCAGTGCTGCCATCTGCATGCCAGTGTCAAAGCTCTTACTAGAGGTAAGTTGGCTAACACCATACATGAATGTGCAACTTTGGCTTAGTGCTGAAATTGCATTAAGTGTGCTTACCCCACTGTACAGTATGATAAGGCAAAGCTGCTGTCTGCCGTATGTGTGCTGACTTATAGACTATATGCTAAATAATTGCTTTTCTCTGAGATTGTATTGCGTGTACAGTGCTTTCTGACACTGAAATGCTCCATTTCCTGAAGGACTTCAGCAAGTTAGTCAAGAATGGTGAAAGTGTCTTTGATTATGAAGTATGGTTCTGTGTAATTTGCAGTTTCTATGTATTATTTGTTTTTTCAAAACAAAATTTTCATGTGGAAAGTTGTAGAATATTATTTTAAGATGTGTTACATTTGTTTATGCTGTGGAATATGTGTTTAATGATGCAAAAGATGGGCTACATCCTTTTATGCTGCATTTGTTTAACTCTGTGAAGCAGGCAGAGAGAACAAATAGGAGGAGAAATCTGGAAAGAGGAGATCAAGGATTGAGAAAAGAAGGGGCCAGCCACCTAGCCACTTAGCCAGACACAGGATAAGGAAAGAAAAGATATACAGAAATAGAGAAAGGTAAAAGCCTAGAGGCAAAAGATAGCTGCAATAATTTAAGAAAAGCTGGCAAGAGATAAGCCAAGCTTAGGTCGGGCATTCATAAGAAAGAATCAAATCAGCCTCTGTGTGATTTTATTTGACAGTTGGGTGGCAGGCCCCTTCACAAGAAAAGAATGGAAACAACCAACTGCAGTGGAATATAGATGTTTTTTGCTATTTAACATTTGTTTCAAAAGTGTTAGTTTCCCCTCATTTGGTAGTTTTCAAAGGTTAATTTACATGTAATTTGTAAAACCTTAGTCTGTAGGCAATGCCTCTTGTACTTTAATAGACTCAGTAACCCATACTGATGGGCTAAAGGCAGTTCATATGTATAAGGACTGAACCTTTTCAGGTTGATTTTGTCACCTGCTTTTTAGACTGGTACTTATGTGAAATTCAAAATACCCCACTGTCATGTCTGTGTGTTCCACCTCTTTTCATTATGAGTATGGGCACTATTGATTTTTACAGCATTCCATAGAAGAGATTCAATGTCCCAGGCAAGAACCATTGGTGATGACTGTGGATACAAAACTGACAGAACAGAAAGGGTAAGGGAAAGAAAGTATGATGTGTGTCTTTGTCATTGTTCTATTGCTGTGAAGAGATGCCATGACCAAGGCAACTCCTATTTAAAAGCCAAAACAAAACCATTTGATTGGATGTTTGCTTACAGTTTCAGAGTCCATGATCATCATGGCACTGGGGCAGTAGTGAGAGCTTTACATCCTGATCCACAGGCAGCAGGCAGAGTGAGAGGGACAGGGACAGGGAGAGGGACAGAGAGAGAGAGAGAGAGAGGGAGAGAGAGAGAGAGGGAGGCAGGAAGAGAGAGAGAGAGACAGACTGGGCCTGGTATGGGCTTTGGAAACCTCAAAGTCTGCCTCTAGTGACATCTCCAACAAGACCACTCCTCCTTACAGTTCCACTAACTGGAGACAAAGCATTCAAACATAGGAGCTGTGGGGACCATTTTCATTCAAACCACAACATGATTATCCCCCCCCCTTTTTTAATCTTAGTGAAGGTTTCAGACATTTTTCATAACTTGTAATATATTATAGCTTTATAATGGCAGTAAGTTGTTTTTGGTAAATGTTACATTTCTCATACAAGTAATCATTTCTTCTTTACCTTTGTTCTCTTATCACTGTCAGCCTTACCAAAATAAACTGTACCTATAAATAGGTCAGTAGGAAACTCTGCCCCTCCATACATACCCATGCTCACACATACCATACTGTACCATACACACACAAAGAATTTTAGGACTGCCTTAGTATCTCAGTCTCTTGTATGTGTCTCTCTCTCTCTTTCTCTCTCCACCTCCCCCTCTCTCTCTGTCTTTCTCCCTCTGTCCTATCCCCCTCTTTTCCTCTCTCCCTCCCTACCCCACCTCATTCTCTCTCCCTGCCTCTCTCTCATCCTCCCTCCTTTCCCCCCACCCCCCTGTCAATTTGACACAAGCTGTCTGGGAAGAAGAACCTCATTTGAGAACTCTTACCAGATTGCTTGTAGATAAGTGTGTAAGGTATATTTTAAATTAATGATTGATGTGAGAAGGCCTAGAGTACTGTCCAGTGTGTGTGTGTGTGTGGGGGGTTTACCATCCCTGAGCAGTTGGCCCTGAATTATAGAAGAAAGCAAGCTGAGCAGGCCAGGAGCAAGCCAGTAAGCAGTTTGAGTCCCTGGTCTCTGCTTCAGTTCCTGCCTCCAGGTTCCTGCCCTGGCTTTCTATGACCAACTGTAACCCTGTGAGGTAAAATGAACCTTTTCCTTGCCAAGTTGTTTTGGTCAGTTTTTGTCACAGAAGTAGAAACATAAGACACTTGACAAGAGAGGTAACATTTTTTCTTTTTCTCTGATCACAGATTTTATTTCTATTTTGAATAGTTAATACAAACTTTTTTGCTTTTGAGACAGAGCCTCCTCACTATGTATACTTGCTGTCCTAGACCTTTATTGTATAGTCCATGCTAGCCTCAAATTCACTGTCTTCTTGCTGGAATAAAAGCATGTGCCACTATTCCCAGGTGAAGCCATCTATCCTTTAGGTGCTACCAATTGTTTTTAGGGCCTCACACATGCTGGACAAGCTCCTTACAAATGAGCTATATCTCCTCTCCACTAAAGAATAAATTTAATGCACTCTGATGCCATTATAATAAGTATTAGAGATATTTGTATTCTCAACATTAATCTGGGTCAAGTGCTCTTTATTCTGTAGAACTGTGGGTAATAGCTAACTTCATGTTCCCTAGGTTCAGATTATATGCTCGTTGCTAAGCAACAGTGCTGCTCAAGTTGTGTATTGAGTCACGGAGTCTTTGCTGTTGTTTTGCATCTAATTGCTATGGAGACCAATGTAAACAGATTGTGATTGTGAGCTAGGCACTGCAGCACACTAGTAGAGGATTGGGGTCTTAGGTAGTGGAACAGTAGTTCACCTGCACTGTAGAAATGTGAAGAATATCTTGCTCCTAATCGCTTGTTTTTATTTTTAGTATGATCGAACCCTTGTCAAATTCTGAATGTACCATTTCTCATTCACCTTGTATAAATGCAAATTCAGAAACTTCTAGGTAAGAATTCTTATTTACTGTACCATTTTGAAATCATGTTTTAAAATAAAGAGAATGAATTGATACCTCCTGTGCCAGTCTGAAATAATTGCTAAGTGTTTGTACTAAAAACTAAGAAAATAAGCAAAGGGCAGCATAGGCACAGTTTTGACATCTCAATTAATTATTTACAGATTTTCTAATACCATTTGTGTTTTAAAGTCATATAGGACTATGTTGGGCCAATCATTTCAGGCACAAAAGTATCAGTATTAGATATATTATTGAAGTATTGTTGTTCTGCTCATCTTCTGACCCCTCATAGCATAAGAAATGCTTTTAGCTCATTTTTCTTTTCTTCATTCTTCACTACTGGGTGTTTAACCTAGAGCCGCAAGCAGGCTAGATGAGCTTTCTACCACTGAGCTATATCCTTAGCTCAATGCGGTGCTGGCCCAACCCAGATGAGCTTCTGAGACCTAGTCAGAGATATTAGGCAGCAGTGCTAAAGATTGAATTCTCTTCAGGTTTATCCAGTTTGTCTTTTTAATATTTCTACAAAGGTTAAACTGAATGCTTAGAAAATTTTGCTGAGCTAGAAGGAAAATTCAGTACAAGTTTGCTATAGAAAAAAAACTCATAATTAGAATTGATCTCCTTACTAATTGTTGAAAGTAAAGTTCAATGAAGTTATTAAAATTGTCACATCAGTTGTGATGTCTGTTTTCATAGACTTATCATATAAATGCAGTTTTGAGTTTTTTCTAAGTTTACTTTTTTTAATTTCATTTTGCTTTCCAGTTCTCCCTCCCACCCCTCTTCCTACCCCAAAGTTTTTTTTGTTTTTTTTTTTTTATGAAAGGGAATGAATGTAAGTTCAAATCTACGTGCAATTTTGTATGTTCTTTTTCTGTTTGGAAAGAATGACTAATTTATTTGAATATTATACTTAACTTATTTAATATATAAATATATATATATATATATATATATATATATATATATATATATATTGCTTAAAAAAATACCAGGAAGGCCGGATGTGATAGTGCATGCTTTTAATCCTAGCACTTGGGATGCAGGGGCAGGCAGGCAGAGCTCTGTGAGTTCATGACCAGGCTGGTCTACATAGTGAGTTCCCTGTCAGCTATGGTTATATAGAGAGGCCCTATTGAAGGAAAGGAGAAAGGAGGAGAGAAGGAAGGGGGGAAGAAGGAGGGGGGAGAGAGAAGGAGGGAGAAAGGTAAACAGAACAAGAGATAATAAATTAAAATACTAGAGACTTGGTTAAGGAGTCATTTCCCAGTAATTGTTTTGTTCAAAAGAGACCAAAGGACTTGGTTGGTCTTTAATTTTTACTAAATATTTTACTATGGTTTATTATAAATGGAAAGTCTTGTTTGTTTGGAAATGAAATGTTCACAGTTCTGTGGTTTCATGCTTAATAAGGATTGTAAGTCATTCGTGTTAATTTTATCCTTTTTTGTTAAGTCTATTTTCAGTCGTTAATTTTAGTCAACGTTTTATTCTAAGTCTGTATGGTTAATAAGGATGATTGTGCAGTCTCAGGCTCATATCCTTCAGGAGCCAGGGTAGGCTGTTCTGGGCTGTAACATCACTGTTGGAAAGGATCTGTGCAGACATTCAGATGATGGGTGGAGAGCCCTGAATAATCCAAAGAGAAATAGTGTCGAATATTTAGATGATAGACATCTAAATGTTTTGTTTTTTGTTTGAATGTTTTCCCACAGCGCACAGATTTCTGAACTTGATAAATCTTCCTCAGTCCCACCTCTCATGTCAGGTGGAGCCCATGTTACTTCACCGACACCTCAGCAGACTCAGAGAAATGAACATCACGCTCCGTTTCCAGACTCTTGTGATTCTGTTCGGCAGATGCTCCAAGAAGAGATGTTTAAATTAGTTCAGGTGAGTGTATGGCTACAGAAGTGAGTCTTCACGAGATACTTAGTTTAAAATAGCAAACTAATAGGAATGAATTGGTCAAAATGAAATTCCATGAATTTCTCTGCTCTTCTGAGTCATTTATGTCATTCAAAATTCCTACTCTGTACCTATAGTCTAGATACATCTACATATAGTTCAGTAGCTGATTTTTCTGGGCATTTTGGGTAAGGTGTTGGGTAGATGAAATCATCTCTGCAAAAACCTCCAAATGTATTTTCTAGACACATTTTCAGACCAGATTTTGTCTTGGGCTGAAGCAGATGACTGTTCACTTTGACTTCCATTATCTTTCTATGCACATTGTTTTCTTTCAACCAATGGTTCTTTATTACTTTTTAAAGCCATATTATTTTTATTTTTAATTATGTGTTTTATGTGTGTCTGTGCATGTGAGTGTAGTTGTCTGGGAAGCCAGAAGAGAGCATCGGATACCTTAGAGCTAGGGTTAAGGTCCACTGTGAGTGGCCTGACATGGATGCTGGAAGCTACTTCAGGCCCTCTGCAAGAGCAGCAAGCGCTCTTAACCACTGAGCCATCTCTCCAGCCCCTCTTTTTTTCCCCTTAAAACATCAATTTCTCTCATACCTAATCCTCTACTCCTGTTTATGTTCACTTAGATATCTTTATATCTTTTTTAAAAAATTATTTATCTTTATTTTATGTGTGTTGGTATTAAGGTGTCAGATCCCCTGAAACTGTAGTTATACACAGTTGTGAGCTGCCATGTGTGTGTTAGGGATTGAACCCGGATTCTGTGGAAGAACAGCTATTGCTCTTAACCACTGAGCCATCTCTCCAGCCCATCTTATATCTTATATCTTATATGCCATTTTATATTAGTGATTCCTGGTACTAATTTCTCATTGAACCTAGGAGTCTTGGTGAAAATATTCTTTCAGCATGTCCACAGTTCCATGAAACTGACTTTGTCCTAGTTATCCCCAATTTCTTCTTAACCCTCTGTTTCGGAATGCTCCCTGCTCTACCAGCTTGAAGTATGAAAAGTATTTTTTCAACTGTTAGGAATTACTCATTCAGTTCTCACTATGTCCTTTTGTCTCAATCTCCCCACCCCAACTTTCTTCGTTTTTGTTCTTGTTTAGACAAGATCTTCACTATGTTTATGATATCCTCTTGATTGTTTGACCCCACATATTACATGTCACTGTAGTCTTTTTTCTGTATATGTAGCATCACCACAACATGAGGAACTGCATTAAAGGGTTGCAGCATTACCAACCCTAGATTCTTAGGATTTCATACTTCCATTCTCTTGTGTGTGTGTGTGTGTTTTATAAGACATTCTTCTGATATAATCCTGGTTTCACTTTAAAATCTTCACTAAATTTCATGCATATTATATGCTGTCAGTCTTGTTGTAAAAGCATAAAGAAAGCGACCTGCTGAGATGGTTCAGTGGGTAAAGTCCTCCTGCGTGAGCATAAGGACTTCAGTTTAGCCCTCCAGCACACATCTGTATCCTTAGTGTTCTCAGATCCCAGGGGCTCACTGACCAGCCATTCTATCTGAAACTGCCAGCCTCAGGTTCAGTGAAAGAGCCTGTCTCAAAAAAGGTGGAGAGACCAAGGGAGACACTGGATGTTGACTTTTGGCCTTTACACATGTTTACAGAGACAAGTCTACCTACATCTGCACACATGCAACACACACATGTACGTGGATAGATGAATAGATAGTTCACTCAGTATGGAGACAGATTGAAAAGACATACACAATAAGGTTAATGCTTTTATCTTTGGAGACCAGATTATAAATGCTATTTTCTATTAATTTTCAAGCTGCCATTCCAAAATGTATTTTGGAATGTATTTCATCAGATATTTTTTCTTTCCCTTTTTTTATTTTTCTTTTTTGGTTTAGTTTTGGTTTTTCTCAACAGGGCTTCTCTTTAACCGCTGTGGCTGCCCTGGAACTAGCTCTGTAGACCAGATTTGCCTTGAACTCACAGAGACCCTCCTGCCTCTGCTTCCCAAGTGCTGGGATTAAAGGCACAGCTTCAGAGATTTTTTTTTTAGACTTAATTATTTTTCTTGTAATATGTGCCTCTTTGTTTCTTCTTTAAAAAACAAAACAACAAAAAAACAAAACAAAACAGCTTTACATGTGTGTGCGCGCGTGCGTGCGTGCATGTGTGTGTGTGTGTGTGTGTGTGTGTGTGTGTGTGTGCATGCATATCTGCATTCCTGTAAAGTTCAGAGGACCATTTGCAGGAGTTGGTTGCCTTGTTCAACCATGTGGGGTCCCTTTGGTGGTTAGAAAAAAAAAATGGCCCACAACGGGAGTGGCACTATTAGGAGGTGTGGCCTTGTTGGAGAAAGTGTGTCACTGTGGGTTTTGAGGTCTCCTTTGCATAAGATATGCTGTTGCCACAAGTCAAGATGTAGAACTAACTCTTAGCTCTTTCTCCAGCTCCATGTCTGCTTGTATGCTACCATGCTCCCTGCCATGATAATAATGGGCTACACCTCTGAAAATGTAAGACAGCCCAGTTAAATGTTTTCCTGTATAAGAGTTGCCATGGTCATGGTGTCTCTTTCTTCACAGCAATAGACACCCTAACTAAGACAGTCCCAAAGATCAAACTGAGGTTGTCAGGCTTGGCAACGAGCACCTCTACCTGCTGAACTACCTTACTCGCCTGCCTGCTTGCTCTTTTCCTTCTTCCTCCTCCTCCTATTTTTCTTCCCCCTCTTCATTGGGGATCACACTCAGGACTTCGTGGGTGCCAGGTGAGTGTTCTGCCAGCCCAGCTCAATATTGTTTATAAATGGATGGAAACCATAAATTTTTAAAACTTGTTATGGTTCCCTGTTGCTTTGTTTCATCAAGTAGGAATTTTGTTAGGTCTAGAAAACCCCACTACCAACCGTTATCTTCATTATTTTTCCACTATTCTCTTGCAAGTCCAGTGTTTTCAGAGTTGATTCCTGGACCCATAATATGAATGCCATTTTGATCGTAGGAATAAAAGTTCTAGGGGCTGAAGAAATTGTTACATAGTTAAGAGTACTTGCTGCTCTTTCCAAAAACCCAAGTGGTAGCTCACAAACATCCCTGATTTCAGTTCCAGGGAGCTGATACCCTCTTCTGCCTTCTGAGGGTACCAGACACACACATGGTACTCAGACATGCATGTAGGCAAAACACCCATACACATAAAAATAAAACTAAAAAATCCTAAAAGAAAGTTTTAGGCTTCCAACCTAGACCTGTTGAGTGAGCAACTGTGGTAGACAAGCTGAGAGAAAAGTGGTGTGACAGGTCCTCAAAGACACACATGCTTCAGTCTGAGAAATGTGCAGTAGCCTGCTTCTCAGCAAACCTGCTCTTTGCCTTTTGTCCAGCTGAGCTGATATGAGTGCTAGTTCTTGTCAGGCTTTCTCCATGTAGAAAACTTAACACATCTCAACACATGCTGCCTCTAACTCTGATCTTCAGCCTTCAGACCCCAAGTTAGAGGTGACAAGGTCTTTGGGAATTTTTAATGCCATTGAGGTGATTGTTGTGTTTAGAAAAGTCTGGAACCACTGGTGCCTGCTTTTACCTGTCATCCAGTCTATCCACACTGTTCTCTTGTGCTGCTCTGCTCTTTTCAAGGCATACTTACTCTGAAGCATCATCTTACTCCTGTAGGTTCTTCCTGGATATGTGATGTAAGTTAGTTGTACAAATAGTTCCCTCTCTTTCCTGAGTTAGAATTCATGTCCTAAGATGACAGGAAGTTATAGTCTGTCTGTCCCTTTAAAATAAGCCTTCTTGCTTTAGTTTTCCACTCAGCATTTGAGAATGTCTTGCTGATATCATAACCTTATTTTCATTGGATTTTGTTCTTGTTTGGTTTTGGTTTTTGATTTTTTTAAGACAATGTTTTCTCTGTGTAGCCTAGGCTGTCCTGGAACTCACTCTGTAGACCAATCTGGCCTCAAACTGCCTGCCTCTGCCTCCTGAGTGCTGGGATTTAAGGCGTGTGCCACCCTGCCTTTTCATTGTTTCTATTCTAGCTGCAGCAGATCAATTTCCTGAGCCTAATGCAAATAGTAGGGCCATCTGTTGCTAATCTCCCAGACATGCATCGACTTCTTCAGCAGCTTCAGCCTGTGCATTCTGAGGAAAGCCAAGCACCAAAACCTACAAGGAGTGGTTGTACTGAAGTCAATAGCAGACAGAGATTGTTTGCTAAGCCAGAGTCCATGCGAGAGTGCAGCAGGAAGCCTGGCAAGAACAACAGCCCACTGCCCCGTGGAGGAATCAGTCAGCCTGATCAAGACAGTAATGGAAACACACAGGTAATTCACACAAGGATACTGCTAGAACTCAGAAAACAGCTCAATTGGCAAAATGCTTGAAGGCTCAAGACATGGTGATAGCAACGGATCCCTGGGCTCACTGTCAAGCTCTTGGCCAGTGAGAGACCCTGTTTTAAAACAATAAATCAATACACAACAAAAACAGTAGATGGCACCTGAAGAATGATACCCAAGGTGGTCCTACGGGTCTCTCTCTACCTGCACATGTACTCTCAAGCATTTTATTCTGGTTTTATTTCTGTTCCTGTCATAAAATAGCCAGACAAAAAGCAACTTGGAGGAGAAAGGGTTTATTTCACCTTCAGTTCCAGGCTGTAGTCCATTATTCAGGTCAAAGTAGGAGGAACTTTAAGGAGCTAGTCATTCACATCCACAGTCAAGAGCAGAGAGAAAAGAATACGAACCTTGCTTGCTTATGCTCAGTGCCATTTCTCTACTTTTGCAGTTGGGGACCCCCATGCCTAGGGAATGGTGCCACACACTATGGGCTTGGGTCTTCCCATGTGAATCAGAGAATCTCTTATTGAAACTGTTTTCCCTTGTGATTCTAGGTTGTGTCAAGTTAACAGTAAAAACTAATCACTCACACACACAAAGTAGGTTCTGCTCAGTTAATCACTGGCTGTTTGTTGTTTGAATAAATGTATTTCTTTAGCAGTTTTTCTAACATGCTATCTGTACACTTCTAGCAGTTTTTCTAACATGCTATCTGTACACTTCATACTGAATATCATTTACAAAAAGAAATTTGTAATATATTCTAAATTTATATAAAACTATTTTTCTTTCAGGATATCCCACGTGGGAGTATTCCTTTGTGTCATTTAGTTGGTCAGCCTAAGATGCGAGGTCAAACTGGAGCATCTCAAAACTTGCCACCCACTTCATGTTCCCATGCTCCTGCTGGCGATACTGGCCTCCAGCTTCTGTTCCCACCTGCTGCTGTCCAGAAGGCTCCTCAGCTGATCCCACCTGCCAGAACAATCACTCCTGGGAGTGGTTTTCCTTTGCTTCATTTTCAGCCCAAGCATGAATTCAAGCCCCTTTCCTTACCTCCAGGAAGAATTCCAGAAGTTCCTTTCAGACCTAAGGCCCAACCAAAAGAGGCATGGGGATTACCTGATTCTTGCCAACCTCCTCTGTCTCAGAGGATAGTCTATACTTCATGTTATTCAGACTCAAGCCACTGTAATGCTGAAGCCCTGAAGAAGGCAGATGCTGTGCTCAGAGATACCCCTAAGCATGTGAACTTGAATCAATATGTTGGACAACAATGCTTGGCACCTCAGCAGGATTCTTCAGTATTTATAAAGCCAGAAAGTGTGTTTGGTGTCAAACCAGGGCCCCCTGAGGCAGCTCTTCAGAATTCTGTTGGGCTTCCTTTACTACACCTGCAATTGAAGCCTCCTTACATGTTCTCATCACCATCGAGAGCAGCAAGTAGATTGCCTTCAGTACCTCTCCAGTCTGACACAGAAGGAAGGAAATGTCCACAGCTATCATTACTTCATTCTCTGCCCCCAGAAAATATGGTAATGACTTTCTGTGTGGTGACTGAAGAGCTGTTGTGTTTTCCCATGCTGTACATGTATGTTCTGTGAGAGCTCAAGAACATGTCTTAAACATACACAAGAACATGTCAAGAACGTATACATGGGTATATGTCTTAGTTAAGGCTACTATTGCTGGAACAAAACACCATGACCAAAAGGAAAGGGTTTATTTGGCTTATACTTTCTCATCACTGAAAGTTCACCATTAAAGGAAGTCAGAGAAGGAACCTGGAGGCAGGAGCTCATGCAGAGGCCATGGAAGGGTGCTGCTTACTGGTTTGTTCTCCATAGCTTGCTCAATCTACTTTCTTATAGAACCCAGGATCACCTCCTCAGGGTTGACACTACCCACAATGGGCTGGGTCCTCCCACATCAATCACTTATTAAGAAAATGTCCTGCAGGCTTGCCTATGGCCCAATTATGGAGGCATTTTATTAGTTGAGGTACTTTCCTCTCAGATGATTTAATATTGGGTGAAGTTGACATAAAACTATTCAGCACAGTGTGCATACATGTGCATACCATGAGCACATGAGCGTTAGAAGACAGCTTGGGTAGGCTAGTTCTTTCTTACTCTGTGGGCTCAGGGAACCAGAACAAATCCTTGGCTTGACAGCCAACTGTCAGCTGTTACAATAGCATAAATTTCAGGTTTAAAATGATTTTAAATATTTTAGGTATTTCATGTAAATACCAGAATGTACACTCCATCATATTTTTTTTGCATACATAAGACAAAAGTAAAATAAGTTTAGTAGGTAATGTTGTATGTGTAGCAAGTACACATGGTGTGCTTGAAGTTTCAAGCAGTTGTGATATGATCATCTTGAAATCTGTTTGAGATGATAAAAGGTTTTTTAAAGGATTTATTTTATTTACTATGTATACAGTGTTCTGTCTGCATGTATGACTTTATGCCAGAATAGGACATCAGATATCATTATAGATAGTTGTGAGCCACCATATGGTTATTGGGAATTGAACTAAGGACCTCTGGAAGAGCAACCAGTGTTCTTAACCTCCAAGCCATCTCTTCCATCCCCAGATAAAAGTTTTTAAGCACATGCCAGTAGCTTTATAAAAAGTACATCAAATCCTCCTCAAAGATACTATCTTTGATTTATGAAATTAAGATTTAGCTTCTAACTTTGTAAGTTTGTAGTACCATATTAGGATAGTAATCGAGTAACTTGTTCTCTGATATACCTCACTACTTACAGGTGCTACTATGGAAAGAAATGATTATTCATTAGAGGAAGTGTTAGCCACCCCTCCTTTTCTGAACATACTGGAAACAGAATAGGGGATTAAAGATGTGGAATTTTAAAGTTTTTTAATTAGAATAATGTGCTGAACCCCAAGTCCTCTTGAATCCTGTTTAGGGATTATCAATATATGCTGATAATGTTCATTCCATCTGTAGTCTTCCACCTACTACATCCTGCCTCTCATGTTTATAGTCAGTTAAATACCATACATATAGTTCCCCTCACAGGGAGGAAAGTTTTATATGGAAATGCAATATAGAAGATGAGGACTTTACTTTTGAAACAAGGTGATTTATTTGAGGGTAAAGGATGCAGCTGAGTGGTCGAGTACTGACTTAGCATGCTCAAGGCCCTGAGCCAGTCTCCAGGGAGAATGTAAAAAAGACCTATGTGAAACTTTAACAACCCTCTCTAATTGTCTAAAATGTGGGTATTCATTCTTTCCATGCAAGTTAGTTTTGAGTTTGATGTGTTCTCTTCTCTCTCTTATGTGTCTTAGTTTCATTTAAACAAATTATTTCCTTTGTTTTTTCAACATGATTGTGTATTTGAGTTGTGCTGCTTTCTTTCTGTAGTACAAGAAGCCCCAGCTTATCCCACCTGAAACCCTCATGGCCTTTAAAAGACACCAAGAAAAACGAGCACATGATGTATTTGAACATGGTGATTCTGGTCATCTTCAGCTTCTAAAGGTCGATGTGGAACCATCTAAAATAACACAAGGAAAGAAGAGGTAAGTTCTGAATGAAATCTTATCTGTTAACAGGGTATGCCAGGGTTGTAAAGATGGTTCCGCTTCAATCTCTTCACAGTAGTGTAGTTAGTAGTTTCCATGTCTGCTGCCATGTAGTTAACTAATCTCACAGTGAGGAAAGAGTTCTCCTATTGTGAGAAATGCTATGTTTTTTTCCCTCTCCGTTTTTTTGTAAGGTTTTCTTCTTACCTTTCATGGGCTGGAGCATTTTTCTCCATGTTTCTGTGGCAGAATGAACAGTTATGTTCTGTAGCACTAATCTTTGTGGTCATGTAAAATTCCATGAACAGTTGAACACTTTGAACCAGTATTTACTTTTACTCGCTTTACTATATATCCTCCAAACTGTTACAAGGCAGCAGAAGAGTAGGCGATGATAAAAAGTGTTTCAGGGCACTAAGAAATGCGCATATAGAAGCAAGGCTGCCCCAGACTAACAGAAGAGCACCTGTTATTACAGCCTTTGACCTGAGGTGTGTGTCCAAGATGTGACAATTAGTACTTTATGTGTATCCAAGACATGACGATTAGTACCTTATGTGTATAGAGCACGTGTTTAAATTTACCAGCGCTGTCCCTTCCACTGTTGAGCTCTCCATGCTGAGGTTTTTATTTAGCTAGCCTCTTCAAGGAGCTTAGTGGAGGTTTCCATGGGTTTCTGGCACCAGCTTCTAATATGCAACAGAAAGAGTTTGAAAACTGCTTGAAAGGTATATCTTATCCTCACATTCTAGTGACCAAATCAGAATACTTAATTCAGTGTTCTAGCAGAAGATCTTGTTAATTAAATCTTGTGAAATGGATTTTCAGCAATTGTTTTCAAGAAGCAAGACACAAATGAGAACCTAAGGTTACCATGTTCTATACTGTTGCCTTACAGGCAAAGCAGGCGAGCTGAAAGAGAGCTACAAGAAGAAAGAGCTCAGAAGCCAAGCAGAAAACCAAGTGTTAGTTTCCGACCAGAGGCCTCCTGCATTAGTAATGGGCCAGAAGTCATCGTGGAGCCCAAGGTACAGAGCAACTACAGTGGACGCTTCCCCAGCTTGCATGGAACACTGTGGTATTTCTTTGTGGCTATGAGTCTGGCCATTGTGATACACAAGAGCTCTGCTGATTCCCTCCACAAATGGACACACTCAGTCATGGATGTAAAAGCAACTGGGAGACAAGCTGAAAAGCGCAGCTTAGAGCATGTGCCTGGCGACTGTTGTGTGTGAAGTCACTCTGGGCTTTCTCTGTCTCACTGACATGGTGCCCAATGTTGTCATTTCCTGTCAAGGGTTATCCGGGTAGATTTGCTATATAACATATTCTAAATCAAATCTCTTTAAGCATTCATTCTGAATTTGGAAAAACACATTAAAAGACATACATAATTTTATTCATGTATGTTTTAAAGCCTTGCTTTTCCATTCAGTCCTCATGAGTGTGTCTAGAGGCACTAAATTTCTGTTGAGTCCATTAAAGACGTTAGCAGGATAGGGGGTAGAGTTTGAGTATCAAATCTGCCCTGCTATGGAGACTTGTACGTAGTAACTAGTAAGTTGGTATTAAACTGGTAATATAGTTTTTTAGTGCTTGACTTGTGGATTTCATGAACACTTGTATAGTTGCTTAACAGTGTAAACAGTTAGGCCTAAAATGATGGAAATTGAACCTGTAACTAAGAATTCAATATTCATAGCTCTTAGATGTATGCTTTTGAATTATTAATTGATTGTTTGGTCCCATTTAGGAACAAATAGGACATTGTGATTCTCGGCCTTTGGAAAAATTTGACATTCCTTTTGGTATGTATACACATGATTAATTTCTAAGTTTAGTGTTAAGTCAGCTTTTTAGAAATAAATATAATAAGGCTGGGTGGTAGTGACACATACCTTTAATCCAAGTGCTCAGGAGGCAGAGCCAGGAGGATCTCTGAGTTTGAGGCCAGACTGGTTTATAGATCAAGATCTAAGACAACCAGGGCTATGCAGAGAGACTCTGTCTTGGGGTGGGAGAGAGAAGAAATATAGTATAAAACTGAGACTAAATTATTGTCTTAGTCAATGTTCTATGCTGGGAAAAGACACACTGACCACAGACCTTTTTTTTTTTTTTTTTTATTTTGAGGAGGGGCTGTCTTCGAACTGGCTCTGTGGACAAGTCAGGTCTTGAAATCAGAAGTCTGCTGGCCTGTCTCCCAAGTGCTGAGATTATAGGCACGTGCCCCCACCACCCCGGCAAAGCAAATCTTATAAGAAAGTATTTAATTGCTTACAGTTTCAGAGGGTTAGTCCATTGTCATCATGGCAGGGAGCATGGTGACAAACACGGCTCTGGAACAGTAACTGAGAGCTACATCCTGATCTACAAGCCGGGGGGGGGGGGGGGGGATGCTAGGCATGGCTTGGGCTTTTGAAACCTCAAAGCCTACCCTAGGTGACACACTTCCTTTAACAAGGCCATACATCCCAATCCTAATCCTTTCAAGCAGTTCCATTCCCTGATGACTAAACATTCAAGTAAATAAGCCTATGGGGGGGGGGCATTTTTATTCAAACCACCACAGTTACTATCCTATCCTGTTTGACAAGGTGGAGGTTCTTTGTACTTTGTTTATTATCCAGTAGAGTAGTGGTTCACATAGGCCTGATTGAGACCATGTGTGCTCTTATGAATAAAGTTTTACTGTAACATATCTCTCAAGGCTTTCAGGCAAAGGAGTTGCTACAAAGACTTAGGTATGCCTACCTGGCACTATACAGAGCAAGTTTGCCAAGCTCTGCAGTAGATTGATATAGTGAATTAGAATTTTGTCAAATAGAATAAAAAAGGTCTAAGTACAGAAATTATGGGCCACTATGCTTAGCATTAAATTTGTCATAGAAAATACATGTATGTTAAAGATGCAAGAGTCAGTTCAGAACAGTGTCATTTATAAGATGTAATTTTTTTTTTCAAGACAGGGTTTTTCTGTGTAGCTTTGTAGACCAGCTGGCCTTGAACTCAGAGATCTGCCTGCCTCTGCCTCTTCAGTGCTGGGACTAAAGGCGTGCACCACCACCACCACCCAGCTATATGATGCTATTTTTAATACACACCAGTGGGTGTGTATTATATTATACCAAACAACCCTTATGCAATTCTCTGTATACCTAATTAAATCACTCAATCTTCAATGCTTTCACCTCTCACAGGTGGGTATATGGTAGGTGCTAACCCTTTAACCCTTTAACAATGTAGTTGGTTCCTCTGGTGACTAACCTGGACCCTGAATCTGTTTAGGATTCTAGAAGTTACCTCATTAGTGTAAACTCTGGTCCCTATGAATAAAAAGCTCAGTCTTAAGAGCTTTTTTTTTTTTTTTTTTTTTTTTTTTCTTAAGAACTTCTGAAAGTATAGAAAACTTCCTGGAACCAAAGACCAAATATGTGTTTATTACACCCCATTGTTTTATGTCTATGTAATTATACCTAATTTATTAGGTGTCATTGTTATTCTCTTATTCCAGCTAGTCTTCCTAGGCCATCTCCCTGTATAATCTCAGTCTAACACAGACTACCACAATATACTTAAGACTTTGATTCTGCTCCTGCAGAGCTTCTCTGCTTGGGGGAAAGACCACTTGTAAGTCATTGTCTTTCCAGCCCAAACTATTTTTTTTCCCTCTGTTATGTTCTCTGTCTCCATTTATATTAATATCAATGGAAAAAACAACCCCCAAATTTTGCCTTTTATTTTCCCTTCTTACCCAGCCAGTAACCCATCCTGGCCTTTCTTACCTCCTTTGTAACATGGCTACAGAAGCCTTATCTGATTTTCTTTAGTTTTGTTCATTCAGCTCTACTTTCCACACACGGGGTGGGTTTTCTACAATAGTGATCTGATCACATTGCTTCCACTGGATCTTCGTTAGCTAGAGAAGGTCCTAGATTTCTGGGCCTGACATACAGTGTCCTCTATGAATGTAGGTTTTATTCACTGTGTCTTTAAGATATAGTTTATATAGCACCTCATGTAGAAAATGCACTTTGATAACATCCCAACACACACCTTGCTGCTGTGCTTCCAGTAGCATGTTGACTCTCAGTGACTGCTTTCCGTACTTGGTTATATTTAAGAAATGTTAGAAGATGATGTTAATACCTCGGCTGGACTGCACTTCATGGCATCTGTACGAAAGAAAGCTGTGGGAAGTCAGGATGCAAGTACAAACACAGAGCCAGGTAAATACTTTAAAAGTTAAAAAGTTCATCTGCTATAGCTGGAGACGTACGTAGCTCAGTGGTTAAGAGCACTTGTTGTTCTTCAGACGTCCGAGTTGATTTTCTATAGCATCCATGTTGGGCAATTCATGAGTGACTGTAACTCCAGTTGCAGGGGATCTGACGTAATCTTCTGGCCTCTGGGTATCTGTACTTAGCCAGCATACATACTAACACATATACAGAGTTAAAAAAAAATCTTTTATAACTTTTTCTTTAAGGCAGTGATTTAAAGGGAATTTTAAATTATGTGATATTAGTTACTTATCCCAAGTTATTCTCCTTAATTTCCTAGGAAAAATTAGAAATAGCATTTTATGATAACCTGAATTTATAATTTAAGTAAAACAAGGTAGAGATTTTGATTGCAGACATGTTAAAAGTCTCAAGTGAGTGTAAAGAATATGTTGAATTAGACTCCCTAGGCCCTGAGTTTCCTTCAATGGAAAAGTAGACCTAGAGTGGGAGGCTTGGGGTTCAGTCTAGAGAAGAATACTAGATTGTGCTTAATCTGAGAGGGTAAGTGACCATCTTTGAGCAGAAAGAAGAGTACAGAACCTTTCCAAGTATTCATTATCCATCCTCTGATTTTGTCCTTTTATAAAATGCTTAAATACTCATTGATATAACATAGCAAGCTATGACAAATATGAAAGCATACGTTTCACATAGCTAGGTACAGAGCATAGTGAAAGTGCCCTTTCATGCTGAGCTCCTGCTCTCTGGGAACTTCCACATTCCTAGTTTTTCCCTGAGAATTTAACTGTCATGTCCCAGGGTTGCTTTTTCCAGTTACATTTAGACACTATTATAATGTATCTTAACAGGTTATTTCTTTATACTGTATTTACATCACTGTACATTTACAGCAGTGTTGAAGGTGATGCATATGTGTAGTCACTATTGCAAGTTCATGCATACAAATAAAATAAATGCTAGTTCAATGGTGTTTAAAATACTCTATTATATAACAACCCTTAATATATTGTTACTTAGGGGGTGTGGGAGGGAAAAATATGTTGTTACTTAGTTGTTTAAGTCTGAGAAAATTGGATTACATGGAACACCATTTTTGTTATGTAAAATAATGTTACTTCATATCTGAAAATTATCAACTAGTCTATTTTCAGAACTACGTTGGGTTTATGTCCTTTTCATTTCCTTTGATTTCTACTTCCCTTCTGTAGTCTATAAGGATATTCCTTTTGCAGTTGTGTCATAAAATATTAGAGTAGCTCTGACTATTGAGCGCACTGTGTGTTAGACAGTTCTTAGAGTTGTTTTCTTCTCTTCTTTTGGTCCTGGCTGTATAGACACAGATGGCCTTGTACTCACAGAGATCCCCCTGCCTCTGCCTTCGGAGTGCTGGGATTAAAGGCTTATGCACCACTCCTAATCTTTCTTTGCTTTTTTCAGGATTAGGATTTTAGCTGGCATGGTGGTTCATGCTTTTAAATCCAGAGCTCAGGAGGTAGAGACAGGGGATCTCTGTGAATTTGAAACCAGCCTGGTCACTGTAATGAGTTCCAGGTCAGCCAGGACTATATAGTAAGTCTATGTCTCAAAGTTAAATAAAATAAAAATCTATAGTTGTATTATTTAAAGATTAAATTAAGCTGGCAATTTGTTTTCCTTCCACCGTTTACATATACTATCTAATTATCTGTATTTATATATTTAATTTCCTGTGTTTGTGAAATTATTTTTCTATTTTTTCTTTTTCCCTCATATATTCGAATTTACCACAAGATAAGGAAGGTACTTCCCAAGAACTTGATTCTGAAAGTGGTAAAAATCAACAAGTCATTTCTGCTACCTCAGGTGTGAGTTCTTTGTTCTCTTAGATTAAGTTTAATTTATTAAAGTTAGTGGACATAATGTGAAAGCCAAAGTCACTCTGTCCCTTAGAAAACAGTGTAACCAAGCAAGTGGCTTCATAGAGACAGGATGACAATTTAAATGTTTTTCTCAGATTTTAAGCTAACCTGTGATTTAAGTTCAAGCTCTGTTAGCAGTTTTTCAGTAAGGTCAATATGACATGAATTGTATTTTACATATGAAATTTAGAGTAACATTTTATTTAAAACAAAGTGCTAGAAAAGTGGATTTGAGTCCTAGAACAAAAGCACAGAGTTCAGCTGTTTGCTTACCTCTGTAATGGGAAGCCTCTCTATTTACTGATGAACAAGAGGCAAATAACTAGTGAAATTCAGATGCTAAAACATTTAACTTTAAAAATGATTTATTCTTATTTTATGTGCATTGGTGTTTTTCCTGCATGTATGTCTGTATGAGAGTGTCAAGAGTCCCTGGAACTGGAGTTACACACAGCTGTGAGTGCCATGTGGTGCTGGGAACTGAATCCTCTGGAAGAGCAGCCCTTAACTGCTGAGCCATCTCTCTAGCCCCAGCATTTTAAGCTGTAAAAGTTAGCAGTGAGCTCTGTGATTATCCTAAATCCATTTTAAGAGTATGAATTATATATCAGTAAAATTAACTTATTTAAAGTTTGAAAAATGTAACTAGTGGGTGTTTTTCTTAAGTAAAATAATTTAATATTTTTAAAATAGAAATAGGAAATTAGAAATTTTTTTACAAAATTTATATACCTTATTGTCAGTGTGTTGTATGTAAAAGATGAGTAGTTCTTTGTCTTTTATTATAAATTTCCTTATAGAAAATCACCCTTAGACTAGAATTGGTTGAATTTTACTTAATATATTTATACCTAAGAAGCTTCTATTTATTTTATGTTGTTTTGTTGCAAACTTGTTCTTAGAAAATTAATGACTGAAGACATGTTTAACATTTCAAATTTTCTTTCCTTAATTTCCAGGTCATGAACCTTTGACTGCTCCTCAACTCTTGATTCCAGATATATATCTAAATGTCAAAGTTCCCACTGGAGTATCAGAGAAGCCTTTATCTCCTTCCCCACCTCATTTGGTAATAACCTTGGTTTATGCATTGAATTTTAATAATATCCTTAGGTCAAACATCCTATGGTCATCCATACAGTACCCCATTTTGTGAGTGATAGGAGTATAAAGACATATATAGCTTTATAAGAAAGGACGGAAGTTACTTCAGTGCTTTGCCCTATAGTACTGTAAAGTAGAAAGCACCAACATCCTGCTGCTTTCTCCAAGTTAGGCATGCAGATGCTTTGCTTGTTAGTAACAAGGACTACAAACTAACACCACCACCCCTTTTATAGTCTTCTAAAATTAAAGAAAAATGATTATTATGTGTTTAACTCAGGCTAGCCATGCTTACATAGATGTGATTGACATTGAAGCTGATGATCTGTTGGCATTACCTGCTAGTGAAGAGCCTTCAGATGAGAACGTTGCCAAGCACCCTCCAGAAGTCCCATCATCTGCAGAGATGCATTGTATGGCAGCTTCCATTGTTAATGCCATACCTCCTCATGCTTTTGAGAATCAAGGTAATAATTTATTTTAATGTAGAAAAAAAACCATTCTAAGATGTATTTAACACTCTTATCCTTAACCACAGTCTCCTAGACCTCTAGGTACATGCTTGTGTTGACATTTAGAAATGTTCTGTTAGCCTCTCAATTGCCTGGCTTGAACATTTACAATACATGTTTGTATATCTTTTGTGTTCTTGATAGAGTCTGCAAGTTCTGATCTGGGTTTAATTTCGGAACCTGCAGAAGTGTCTCAGCCCTGTCTGGATGGGAAGAGCTGGAGAGCAAGCACTGTGGAAGTGAAGGAGCCTGGGATTCCCTCAGTAATGCCACCCCATAGGCAGCAGGACAGAGGTAAACAGGCAGCATGTGCTGCCTGGCCCTCCCTCCCTACATCCCTGTTATGTAAGAAGTGTTGCTGCCTGGTCATTTCAAAAGCACTTGAAAGAGAAAGGGGAAAAGTATATAAATGAGGTGCAGCCTGGCTCCGCTGGGACCCACAGTAGCTTGCAAGATGGCTTCAGATCTACTTGTGCATGTCGTTCTCCAGGTAATGAGGCTGAAAAACGTCTTGTCGGAGTCCTTTAGTATTCTGATGTCTAAAAGGAATTCTCATCTCTGAAAAGGAAAATTCAGGGCCAGTAAAAAGCACTTTCACTCTTAAGGCTGATAACCCTAGTTCAATCCCAGATGCCATGACAGAAGGAGAGAACCAGCTCTCTGAAATTGTCCTCTGACCTCCACATTCACACACTCTCTGTCCTACCCATCACACACACACACACACACACACACACACACAAATGATAAAATGTATGTGTAGGAAATTCTGTAATAACACATAGTAAATATATGGGTATGGTAGTCAACTAGTCAACTAGTAACTCATGAGTTGTTTGTTTTATTTTTGAGATTATAATAGAATTATATAATTTTCTTCTTATCCCTTTTCTCCCTCCAAATACTCCCATATAACCTTCTTTGCTCTTTTTCAAATGACCTTTTTCCATTAATTGTTCATGCCTGTATATATATGTAAAAGCATATATATTCCTAAACACAACCTGTTCCTTCCATTACATGCCAAGGCTGTCCTGGGTTTCTACTGTACTCTTCTTTACATCTCTGTGCATCAGATCTTTCCTGAGGGTGATTAAAGGAGACACTTTAGGCTAATGAGAACAGGACCAATAGACAGATACTAAAGAAATGTGAGAGTAAGCTGAAACAGGGTAAGGCAGTATCAGCACTGGGGCCATCTTCTCCTGGGAAGACTCACCAGCACTAGAACCAGAAATTATCAAAAAGTGCTCATATTTCAGAGCACTTCGTTGCATAAGCTGATCTTCATAAAACTTTTATGAGCTAAGTACAGTGGGCAAAATAATCTGTTTTTGATGGATTCCTCATTCTGTAAAAATTTAGGGACCAGGTTGTCAGCCTGTGAACAGTGACTGGGGAAAGGAAGACAGATGAATAAAGGGATCATTAGGAGACAGCTTGTAAATGCTGCAAGGGCTGGGTGATGACTGAGCAACACAGCATCTAATCTACTTGAGGGTCAGGCCATTAAGGAGAGGTAGGAACAGTGATTGTTAAAGGGGACTTGGATGAAGGGAGAAAGTGGACTCAGACTGGGGATTGAGTGCAGTAGTGCAGTTCTGCGGAGCCTGCTAGGCGCGGGAAGTTGGGATTGGTTAAAAGCAGTAGCAAGGACTGCTGTCTTGGAGGTGGAGGGAAGACTGTGCCACTGTTAGACATACCGAGAATTTAGACCTTGAACATGAGGCATTACAGATATGTGGAAAGGTTTGGGGATAAAGTAACTATGTCAAATTTGTGTTTCTAATTCATCCTAATAGGCACACAGGAGAAAAGTAGGCTATTATTTGAGGTCTAGAGTCTGAAAACACCAATGAAGCAGTATAGGAATGGAGACATGGAGGAGGGAGAATCACCAGTACTTGACGGTACTTTGGAATATGAAGGCCTCTGGCTGGGAAACATGGTGGCTAGTAAAGCTGTTCCCTGAGCTGGGGCCCAAGAAGGCAGCAGGCAGCTAGAAGAGAAGCAATGAGTTGGTGTTCTGATGTTATCTACTTGCCTCACAGTCTGCCTGGAAGTCCGTAGTAGCCAACACTGAATCTAGCTTTCACTTTGTAATGCCATTGGTTGTCAAAAGTTTTTTTGTAGGAAGGGATAAAGGTGACATTCAAATTGCTATGTGTATAGAGCTCTGTGGTACTACATTGTTCAGGTCTTAACTCACTACAGAGATAAATTTCAAGCAGTCTAGAAACAAGTGAATTTGTATGTTTCCTAACTGTTAAGAGATTTGGAAACTAAGCTATATTGGCTTAAAATGAGATTGTCCTTATCTACTTTTCCCTTAAGTAAAATTAATGCTGATTTTTCTTTGATTAATGTTTAGATCTGCTAGAACCAAACTTCCAGTTCAAGGAAAAGAACACAAAATTGGATTCTGGGGGACAGTCTCTGCTTTGGACACTGCTACAAGATGTCCATACTGTTTGTCCCACTCCAAGCCCTGCTGCTTGTCCCACTCCAAGCCCTGCTGCTCGGAAGTTAGAACATCTTACTGCCAAGCTTCAGAAGATGGATGAGCAGCTGTTAACAGTGCAGACCATTGCAGAGAATATAGAGCAGGACTTCCCTGCACCAGAAGTGCTGAATCTACACTGGGAAAAAGTATCTGTTCTTATTTTCTAGTGGTTTTTTGTTTGCTTGTTTTGTGTGTGTGTGTGTGTGAGCCTGCAGTGATGGCCTCAATTCATTGAATATATAGTATGATTAGTATGAAATAATTTTAGATACTTTGTTTAGAGACTTTGTTAAATAATGAGGAAAAAATTTAAGCTAGAATTTTTTAAACTAAGCATTATTGATAGGCTAGATCACCAGTTTCCAATCTAAGGCTGTGACCTTTTGGGGGTCAAATGACCCTTTCATGGGGTTTTCCTAAGACCATCAGAGTCTATTTTCATTAGGGTTTGTAATAGTAGCAACATTACAGTTATTAAGTAGCAATGAAAATAATTTTATGGTTGGGGGACACCATAACATGAGGAACTGTATTAAAGGGTGGCAGCATTAGGAAGACTGGGAATAACCAGTCCAGATAATTATTTGTTTTCCTTTCTCCTATGATTCTGGAATCATTCACATACTAGGCAGAGTTCTCTAGTAATTCTGTCTTCCCATGCATTTTCAGCATCATGGTCTTCACCTACTTAGTGCCTATAGCACAACCCAAGCGATAACAGTCAGATGATTTTCCCAGATGTTGTGAAATGACACTCAGATCGCCCATAGGGAGAGAAGTGTGGGAGCTACAAACCAGAATTTCAGTGTCATTTTCCTCCCAGAGATTTCTTTTATTCTTTTTTTTCCCCCCTCATATTTCTCTGCATAGTCCTGCCTGTCCTGGAACTCATTTTGTAGAGTAGACTAGCCTCCCGAACTCAGAGATCCACCTGCTTCTGCCTCCTGAATGCTGGGATTAAATGTGTGTGCCACTACCTCCCAGTTTATGTGATGGTAGTTTTATGTTTTGGGTTTTTTGTTTGTTTTTTACCACAAACTTAGACATGGCCAAATGAATCTTAGGCATCAAAATAGTCCTTGATGACCACAGACACATCTACACTCACTCCTGAGTTTATAAAAAGGTTTCTCTAGAACTTTTTCAAATATCCATGCTATCTCCCCTTCCTCCTTCACCTCCAGTTTTCAACACTTTCATTTGCAAAGTTTTAACAAAAGAGTTCTCAGGCCTAGAGATACAGGACTACCAGGACACCATGAATGAGTACTAACTTGGAAGCTTAAGAACTCAAGTTGAATTCCGTTACCTGTCACTGTGGAAATCGCTTACCCTCTGGGCCTTGTTTCCTCATCTGGATATAGATGACTTGGGTATGATGGTGGCTAACCTTTCCCCTACTACGGAAACACATAAAGTCATGTCAGTTTGGCTGTAAAACTTCCTTTTCATTATCCCTGACAATACGCTCATACTAGATTTTACCCTACTTCTTTCATTTTTGTTGTACTATTTAAAATGATTAAGATACACTTAAAATTATTTGATATTTTGATCAGTTACCCAAAAGCAACATTTACAATTGTTTTTCTGTGTTTGCTTTCTTCTGTAGGCTCGACTGGTAGATCATGTTGAATTGTCTTCTGGCCCTGAAATTGAAAAACCATTACCTTCAAAAGCCATTAGCATTTCTGAAGAAGGTTTGTGTTAGGTACCTAGTATTGAAGCCTGGCTTCAAAAAAGTAGACATACTTTCTTCATGTGAGGTGAAGCTGTTGCTCCCCACCCTATTCCCAACCTTTTATATATTTCCTATTTTCTTATTTTTATGTTATACTATACGGGTGTTTTTCCTACATGTATGTGTGTGTACCACATGTTTGCATCCTGTATCTGTTTCTTTAAATATTCCATCCTCCATTTCCATTATTAGTTCTTTCCAAATCTGTGAGTGGTCAGTTATCTTTGAAAACAGCTTAGCTTTACTGTTATGTTTAGGTCATAGTGTATAGCTGGCTGTAGAATTTTCAAGTTCATTATTTGAAAGACATTGCCCCAGTATTTATCAATGGAGTTTACCCTGCCTCTATGTTCTTAGTCTCATTGCTGTCTTAAAAATCTCAGGTTGCTTTAAAGTTTTTTTTTTTTGTTGTTGTTGTTTTTTGTTTTCCCTCAAGAAAGGGTTTCTCTGTGTAGCCCTATCTATCCTGGAACTTGCTCTGTAAACCAGGCTGGCCTCCAACTCACAGAGATCCCCCTGCCTCTGCCTCCCGAGTACTGGGACTAAAGGTGTGTGCCACCAATACCCAGCTAAATTTTTCTTTTTTGATACACTAAGTATGCATTTTTTTAAATGCATACTTGGTCCAAGATCTGAGAGGGGCTTCAGGGATGCCTAGTGGCTTGAGAGGTTTGGGTGATGGTCCTGAGGCTGGCTGGTGCAGAGCAGAGGGAGGGAGCCCCTTGGAAGGGGAGGCCTCCTAGTCATGCTGCTCAAAGAGATACTCGCCCAGAGATGTCTGGGGCACGCCAGTCTGCGTTGGCTGGGGCCCAGCCAGCCTATGGATGTTGGTCAGGTGGTTGCCCATCTTCTTGATGAGCTTCACCTCTTCATCCAGGAAGTCACAGAGATGAGGGTCTGTGCGACCAGAACCCAGGGAATGAAGATCCAAGAGGGCCTGGTTCAGGTTCTTCTCCAGGGCCAAGGCAGCTTCCATGGCCTCCTGGGTTTTACCCCACTCATCTTGAGATGGCTTCTGCACATTCTGGAAGAGTGCGCGGCCCCCGCGGTCTTTCTGAAACTTGAGGAGTCGCTCGACACCCTCGCGCTTCTCCTCAGCCAATTCGTGGAAGAAGTGGCCTATACCGCCCAGAGCCACGTCATCCCGATCAAAATAGTAGCCCAGAGAGAGGTAGGCGTAGGAGGCCCGCAGGTGCAGGTTCACCAGGCGGTTCACGGTAGCCTCCACTTTGGTAGAGTAGTTCTGATGAACCTGGGAGGCCATGGCTGAGGTGCTGTGTGTGGAGCTGGCTGGTCCTAGGAGCCAGGGGCGAGGAGATGGTCCCTGAGGCTGTGACTGGAGAGGCTGGACAGAAGCTGCTGGGACCCAGCTAACGGAGGGCGTGCCCGGGTCTGCTCCATCCAAACACTGTTGAAGCAAGAGGCAGATCCGCATGAGCCGGGGCTGCGCTGGTGGCCCTAAGTATGCGTTTCTATCTTACACCTGAGTAGATTCTCTAGTTTAAAGGGTTAGTGTTGGAAAGTTTGTGTTGTTTCTGTCGCCCTTTTTTCTCCCTCTGTTCTAGAAATGCCTGTTCAGTATGTTTGGATCTTGTTCATATGTTTTAAACCTACATGTTTGTTTATTTGCTTTGGGAGGCAATGCATGCTTGGAAGGCACACAACAACTTGAGGGAGTTGGTTCTCCTTGTCCTCCTATGTGAGTCCTTTAGGTCAAACTGAGGTTGACAGGCTTAGCAGCAAAAATACCTGCTAAACCACCTCACCAGTCCCTGTTGTGTTTTCTGTTTGTTTGGTGTGTGTATATGTTTAATGTTTCATGATTTCTTCATCTTTAGGGCTCAGTGCTGTATTCACTAGTATGTCTTTAAATCTTTTTAACTTACTCAATCTGCTTTCGGTCATTTGTTGTTCTGCCTGTTCACTATTATTTTAGTTTGGGTGATTGCGCTTTTCACCACATTTTTTATTACATTAGTTCACTGTACTGTAGAAAGCTTTCAGGTTGTACTGCAAGTCTCCATTCATGAGTTCCATGTGGAAGCATGAGTAGTTACTACACTTTCCCTTTGAGTTTTCTCTTAACTGTGTGTACGTCTTGGATTAGTGTGCTTCCAGACTCATGAGGACCTGGAAGATCAGAACAGTACAGAGGAAGCTTCAGAGATGGAGTGTTCAGTAACAGAAAATCATTCTAGCCAGAAAACGTGTGCATGCCCTGCTGCGGGCTCAGCTGTCTGTTCTCCTGTGGACTGGAGTGTCACTTCTGCCGGTACTGCTCCTTTCTTCTTAGGGTTACATGTGATTAGAGTGTTGCTGAACTATACCTGGGAGGATACAGTGATGAAGGTGTGTGAAGTAAATACACTTCAACCACGTATTACACCTTTATAATGTTTTAGCATTAAGTATGTAGTAATTAGAACTATATTTGATTTTTATTATATTTGATTTTTATTATATTTGATTTTTATTATATTTGATTTTTATAAAAATTGAGAAATTCAAAATGCTAATATTTAGACTCTTAAATTTTAATCTGTAGCAGTACCTTTGGTTATTTGTTGAGCCTCTGCCATGTACATTGCTGTGTTTCATGCATGGGCCCTTTTTAAGGTTGAGGTAGGAACTTCTTTATTCTCATTCCAGAGTTGAGACTGAGGGCTAGAAAGGGTTAGTGCCTCTGTTTGATTCCATTGGAGACACATTGTTAGGACAAGTGCTATTCTTGGGTCCTGAAGGAACACCTAGTCATATGAACAATAATAGGCATAGCATTTCTTGTGTAACCCATTTAAACATGGATAAATTGAAATGTTTCTCTCTAGTGTGTATAATTTGTAAGCTTGAAAAGAAGTCATCTTTTTTAAACAAAATTAAGAATTTTGGTACCTTACGTAGGTTTCTCCTTCTAGGCTGGCTTCTTGGAAAGGTGTTCTATCATTACCTCACTTTTGCAGTCAGAATAGCTTGGAGTTTCCTCCTCTACAACCTCCATTTCTTTAAAAAAAAAAAAAAAAAAAAAAAAAAGGTTACTGGCAAATAATTGATAAGCTGAGGTTGGATTTAAATCTTGCAAACAGCCATAAGACTCCCAGAGACCCTGCTGTGCAGGAAGATGCCAAGTTGAATGTGACTGTCTCACACTGTGAATGGAGAATTACACTGACTAACTGCTGAGTACCCCTGAGGCCATCCCAAAGGAAGAGTTCCAAATGGGGCTGGAGAAATGGCTGAGTGGTTAAGAGCACTGTTTGCTCTTCCAGAGGACCTGGGTTCAATTCCTAGCACTTAACGTGGCAGCTCACAACTGTCTGTGTAACTCCAGTTACACACAGACATACATGCAGGCATTTCTAAATTTCTGGTTAATAATTAAGTTTAAAGAGAATTGGCCATGGGGCTGGGGAAAATGGCTTTCTCTGCAATCATGCCAGTGTGGACCTGTGATATCCACGTAAAAATCTGGGCTCACCTGTGCCAGCTTCAATAAGAGACCTTGTCTGTCAAAAGTAATAGAAGATAGTAATAGAAGGCACTTGATGTCAACTTCTACACATACACACACATTGAAACACACAAATGGGGAGGCAACGATGGGAGGATCTCTGTGAGTCTGAGGCCATCCTGGTCTACAGATTGAGTTCCAGGACAGCCAGGATACATGTCTGAGAAAAAATATACTGACCTAAGTTTTGAGACAGGGTTTCTCTGTAGCTTTGCAACCTGTCCTGACACTTGCTCTGTAGACCAGGCTGGCCTTGAATTCACAGAGATCTGCCTGCCTCTGCCTCCCCAGTGCTGGGATTAAACACCTGGCCTAAAAATTGTTTTTTTTATTGAATAGTTTTTCATGTAATATATTCTGATCATTGGCCTATATTCATTAACAATGTTTCTTTTTTTAAAGGTGTGAATAACAATAATGAATTATTTGAAAGGTAAATGGGTTAAGAATTTATTATTTTAAATGTGTTAAAATTTGTCTGTTAATGTGTTATAGAAATTTTACTGCTCTTTTGAATGTGGACTTTTTATATTACACTTTCACTCTGTTGACCAGGCTGGCCTTGAACTCCTAGAGATCCACTTACCTTTGCCTTCTTAGTTAAAGGCATGTGCCATCACTACCTGGCTATGTTACAGTTTTTGTTTAAAGAAGTTTTACAAATTTCCATTGCCAATGAGTATTTTAGGAAACTGGGGAGTGTTACATTCTATACACACACACACACACACACACACATATATATGTATGTATGTATATACATATATATGTATATTTATGTTTTAGAATTAGGTAATTAAAATGTAATAGACTGTATTGGCTGCATTTTCTTACATTATGTGTTAAGCTACAGCAGTTAAGACCTGTAGTCCCTTGTAATGAGGCATAGCAATACCATGTGCCTCTGTGTGGGCATAGCATTTCTATTGTGACATTCTTGACAAAATGCAGTATTTTATAAAATGACCAGCTAAGATTTCTCAAAAGCATCAAGGTAATGAAAAATACAAAGTTAGAAGTTGTTTTAGATTTGAAAAGACACACGTCATGGCAACTAAGTATAAAATACCAAAGTGGATTCTGGGCAAAGAAAGGATATTAGTGGAACAACTAGAAAAATATGATATCTTCTATAAATGAGTTAGTAATTGGTCAATTCTCCAGTTTTGATATTAAGATGAAGATTATGTCAGATGATCACATTTGAGGAAGCTGAGTTAAGGGTATGTTGGAGTTTTGCTTTTTTAAATTATGTGTATGAGTGTTTTGCCTGCAAGACACATGTGTCTATGTACAAATTGTGTGGCTGGTGCCCAAAGAGCATCAGATTACTGGAACTGGAGTTACAGACAGTTGTGAGCCACCATGTAGATAATGGCACTTGAACATAGGTCCTTTAGCAGAGCATCCAGTGCTCTTAACTGCTGAACCATCTTTGCAGCCCAGGTTTTGTTTTAATGTGTCTGGGTGTGTGCAGATGAGGCCAGAGGCATTGAATCCCTGGTGACTGCTGTAGTTACTTGAGCCAACTGATAGTTGGAGCAATGAGCACCCTTAACCACTGACCCATTACTCCAGCCCATTTTGCTGCTTTTAAAAAAGTCTGAAACTATTTCAGATGAACTGTTAAGTTTTTCACCAGGGTTTAGAGCTCATTTTCTGAGAGCATCTATAAAGTCATTGATAACTAGACTTTTATGCTGAGTGATCCCAGAATTTAGAAATAGAAGACTAGGTAGGCTTCCCTCATTTATGTTCTAAGAAAAGTATTACATACTCATTTCTGCTTAATGTGATTATGTCACAAACTCATATTTCTGAAATTTTATTTGCAAGTGTTTCAGAAGATCAACTCCAGGAGACGGGGTTAACTGATATTGCTGACATTATTGATGACCTCATAACCAAGAGCGGAGTTTCCAGTGAAGAGCTTGGCTTAACAGAAAAACAAGCTAGAAATATAGCCAGGTAATCATTGAAAATGTATGCATGCTAGGTAGGCATGGGACCCTGGGTCTTGTTTGGGTACTAAGTATACACTCTATCATTAATTCCCAGCCTCAGAAGAATCTAAACCACTTAAAATAATGCAGGTTCAAAAATATTTAAAATTTGCCAGATTTGAAGCTCAGAATAGATGTTTTCCTCATAAATGTTTGTATCTTCATCTTCTCTAACAGCATACTCACTGTTATATTTAACTCAATACATCTGTGTTCTGGGAGCTTTCCCCTGGACTCACTGTAGTAAACATATAATGAGTTCTGTTTCATAATAGAAATGATTAATGATTAACGCATGGTACTTATCCTAAGTACTAAACCTTAGAAACATAATAGCATTTCTGTGGAACATTAAAGTATGTTTTCTTCTCAGTCTTTCCTACATGGAATCGAGGCTATCCCATTCATGCTTAATTATATATATGTCTAGGCTTGGTTGTATAAAAGAGGCAAGCCTGTCGAGCATGGTGGCATGTAATAGCAGAGAGGTGGAGACAGGATGATGTCAAGTTTGAGGCCAGTCTGGGATACATAGAGAGACTGTCACAAAGTAGAATTTAACTGAATTTCCTAATTCAATTAAATTCCATTATTAACTTATTGAAAATGTAGTACATTATAATCAAACTCAGAAAATAAAGCACAAAAGAGACTTTATTTTTAAAATTATGTGTATGTATGGGTGTCAAGGGTTGGGTATGTGTACATGCAGGTGCCTAAGGAGGCCTTCACCTTGTAGAAATAAAACCACCTGCCTCTGCTTCCCTAATGCTGGTACTAAAGGCAGATGCCACCATACTCCACTGTTGATAACATTTCTGGGAGCAGATCAGAGAAGGCTGACTAGAGAGCATGAGTGTGTAGTGTGCTTCAAAATGGTACAGTGCTCTCCTTCCAGAGCAACAATGTTAGATATATCACTTCTGCAAAGTATATGGAAAAAGCCAGCAATCCTTTATTATTTTTCAGAATTCAGCATCCTTCTGGCAGATGCCCCCAAAGAACAGAGAAGGAGAGAAGAGAGATTAAAATCTGGATGAAAAGAAAGCGAAAAGAGAGAATGGCAGAATATTTAAATCAGCTGGCAGAAAAGAGGGGGCAGGAACATGATCCTTTCTGCCCCAGAAACAATCCAGTAAGTCTGTGCTACCCCAGGAAAGGGCTCTCACTGCCCCAGAAACAGGAATGTAATTTGGATGCTTTTTTTATTGAGCAGATGTTTTAATGAGTTACCTGAACAGAGTGTGTAAGGATATTGTGCAAACTATGTCTATGTCCTATCTAAGTATCTTTTTCTCTATCAGGTTAATCAAGGCTCTTTCATAAAAAAGGAAGTTGAATGGGTGGCTAGTTGGAAGTTTCTTTAATTTTTATTAGTAGCTGAATCAGTCATGGGCATATTAAAGACATTTTTGAAACTTAGTTTTGGGGGCTAGAGAAATAGCTGATTAATTAATGTACTGCTTTACTGCTCTTATAGAAACCTCAAGTTTGGTTGTTAACAATCCCCTATAATCCAGCTCCAGGGGACCCAACACCCCCTTCTGGATTCCTCAGGCACCTACATTCCTATGTGTCCATTTATTTACGTAGTATACATACCATACATAGCAATACAATATTGCTAAACTTGATTTTTTATATGTAAATTATCTACAAAGAATTTTTTTTTTTTTAAAGCCATGGTCCCTAACTGACCTAGAACTCTGTATTTTAGACCAGGCTGGCCTCAAGGTCCCTAACTGACCTAGAACTCTGTATTTTAGACCAGGCTGGCCTCAAACTCACAGATCCAGCTGTCTGTGTCTCCCAAGTGTTGGGACTAAAAAAGTATACTTTAAGTACACCCACTACATCCAGCGCTATAAAGAATTTTCTAAAATTAAAAGAACAGTGGTGGTGAGGGGGTTCTGCTGCCCTTTGCACAGTGTTAAATTTATGGAGTCTTGAGTTTTGATAGTTCTCATGGCTAGATCCAGGAGAATTTATTATTTCAGGGATGAGTGGGCTCAACCCCTAATACTTCACCAAAACAAATTAGAGCTTCAAAGGTAAAACGAAATAGTATTGCTTTGATAATCATATCACTGTGAAAGCAACATGTAGATTTAGAGTATGGAGTATGGTACATTTTGACTATTAGATTTAGAGTATTAGAGTGTATAGTCTATGCCTTTGTCATGTGGGTGCTGGGAACAACCATACCTGAATTTTTTTGGAAGCCTGAAAAATAAGTCATAATGAACTCATTGCACTGGAGAGACAAGGTCTTTTAGTTCAGGCTTGTAAGCATTTTGCTGATGGGATGGACAGGGACTCTGGCACTCGGGAGCCAGAATACTGAGTGTTAAAGCTCAGATGGAAAGGTATTCTGGCATTCCGGAGCCAAGGAATACCACAGGTCACAGTAAGCATAGCAGCTTACAGCCCTGCTTCGGGGAAGGCTTCCCCAGTGTTATCAGCCTGCTCTGGCTGGAGAGGTTTCCCCCGGAGAGTGGAGTGTAACAGCTTCACTTTGCCAGATCCACTCAGGGTCATCTCTGGTCTCTGCTCCAGCAAAAGCAGTAAAAGAAGGTCTCACCCAAACCTCATTCAAGAGATTTATTGGGAGGGAAGAATCCAGGAGAGTGGCTGCCTTCTGCCAGTGTGGCAGAGGACAGCTGTGGAGGCTGAACAGCCACAGGCTGAACAGACATGGTGTTTTATATAAGGCTTTTTCCAGGGAGATTTCCAGGGTGAAGATTGGTCAGATTTTAGTCCCTGAGCTCAAACTGGCTAGAATCTCATGCTCAGGAATTGGTTGGTTTTCTGCACAGGTTTAGGGTCAGATTTGGCTTTGGTTTCAGGGCCAAAGTGTGTTTCTTTCAATGGTCCTTTTTGGCCTTTTGGCTCTTAATTTCAGGACCAGTGTGCATCTCCCTCACTGGCTCTGATTCCAGGGATAAAGCACTGGTTTCAGGGTACATTTCCTTGGTTCTTGTTGCAGGACCAATGTGTGTTTCTTTGGCAATGCTCAGGGTATGTTTCTTTAGTTGGCCCTTTCCCCTTACAAGGCTACCATGAAATTCATGGTCCTCCTGCCCCACCCAGCCAGCTAAGAGCTAAGTTCATGGTGTTTTAATCTAAGATTACATTTTATACAAAGACAGAAAAAAACCTTTCTCAAATATGACAGTGTTTTTTGTACCTTTGTAAATGCCAGAAGAATGTTTAGTGCTGTAATAGTTTGGACTGAACAATAATGAACTAACTGGACATTTCCTGTGCAGTTTTACATGACTTCAAGGCAGATCAGGCAAAGGCAAAAGATGAAACATGAAAAAGATAGGTAAGTCTAGGAGCTGTACCCTCAATGTGCTCTCTAGCTTGCTGTCAGTAAACAATGTTATGAGAGATACTGTTAAAAGAAAAGCTTGGTGGGGTGGTGGTGGTGGTGCACCTTTAATTCCTACACTCAGAAGACAGAGGCAGGCAGATCTCTGTGAGTTCGAGGCCAGCTTGGACTACAGAGAGTTCTAGGACAAAGTGAGTTCCTCCCCCCCCCCCAAAAAAAAAAAAAAAAAGCTGCTTAGGAATTTGCTTTCAGATATTACTTGTGCCATTCAATTTTTCTGCTGCCTTCCCACACCCAACCTTGATTCATCTGTATGTGTCTGAAGAACCTCAAAAGCCTAAAGTACAAACAGCTTTATTTTGTTACCAGCATCATGCTGGTTCTTTAAGCCAGGGTGTCAATATGTACCCAGGCTGGCCTCAAAGTTGCCATCTTCCTGCCTCTGTCTCCCAAATGCAGAGATTATAAAGTATGTGCCATTGTAGTAGTGCCTTGCCTCTACAGGGTCATAGTAATGCACTGTACTATCTCCAGTGACTGAGACATCTGGTAAGGCAAAAAGATTTGTAAGCATGTGCTCCCTCTAGAAATGAACAGGAAAGTGACATTTAGATTCCTGTCTACAGATTGCTTCTGTCTAATCACTATAGTCAGCGGATCTCGCAAGCATACTGTCTGATGAATGAACTGCTGTCTGACTCCGTACAGCTAACAGCGCCTTCAGTCCAACCCTTACCTAACAGATCCCCCACCACTCAGCATTACAGACAGCAACATTGCTCTTCTCCAAGGAGGTAACACAAGTTTGGTCTGTCACTTGCCAAAATAATTTCAGGACCCATAAAATTATATAGCATTGAGGTTTGTTTGCTTTCAGACAGGGTATCATCCCGGGTTGGCCTTGAACATGTTGTGTAGTCTGTGATGACCTTGAACATCCAATCCTCCAGCCTCTACCTCCTGATAGTTAAGATTACAGGCGTGTACTACACACCCTGCCAATGCAGTGCTGGGTTAAACCCAGAGCCTGATGCATGGTAGACACTCTACCCAATAAGCCACATCCCTGGTGCACAGTGCAGCACTTTCATGTCATAAATTCGGTGAATCTTCACCTATGCTACCTTGAGTTATAATAAAGGAAAAAATTAGTGTCATAAAGCTCTTACAAATTTATGGAATAACCCAGAAAAAGGCAAAAATGTGTTAAATTATAAATAAGCTGCACAGCATTTGGGAACCCTTGGAAAGGGTATTAGTGCTATCTATTCACTCTTTTGTTCTTGTTTTCTATGAAGAGTTGCTTCTGGAATTTGCCTCTTAATTCCTCCCCTCACCTTTCTTTTCCATTCAGGCAGGAGCAGCCAGCCCTCCCTCAGCATCTGAGTGTCTCCACCCTGTCCATTCTGCCCATCCAGCTGCTGCTGCCGCTGCCACAGGGCTCTCCATAAATTAACCATCTGCTGTGGTTTTAGATATGAACTTTGTTAGAGAATGCTGCTAATGCCCCAGTTGTAAATTTTCTCAAATGTGGCCAACATATATTTATATAGTTCTTACTATATAAATATCAAATATTTGTATATCAAAGGCACTCAAGAATTTCCTTCAATCGAATAGATTAAGTAAATAAATAGATTAAGTAAATAAATAGATTAAGTAAATAAACTGCCCATATATTGAGAATTTGAAATGGGTAGATATTAAAATTTTACTTGTCAAAATTCAAATTTTTCAAAAAATAATGTATTTTACTACAACATAAGCAGTGTGGAGTTATTTGAAATTTTTAATAATCTTGTGATTTCTACTTTAGAGAGATTCTACATGGGAAGAGTTTCCTAATAAATCGGCCTAGAGGAGGCAGACATATTCCCAGATCGAGTCATCTACATAAGGGGAAACCATTGGGGCAGCCCAAAGGTTCATCTTGGCGGCAAGGTAAGATGTGAAGCCCCCTTGTCTTTTGTGATTTGACTGTGTTCTTGGGGTCTCCACAGTTATTTTCTTAGTAAAAAGAAACTCCAATCCCATCAGAGCATGGTATTGAGAAATATTTAGCTATCCCAGGATTTTGTTCTATTGCTTTGAAATGGTAGTTCTCCTACTTTACTGTCCCAAGTGCTAAGTTTACTAGCCTGAACCACCTCTCCTGCCTCCTGGCTTCTTGATGTCTGAGGAAAAGGCATTAACATGGAAATACTATCTTTTTACATTTGTCCCATTGTAAGCCTTCATTGCCTGTCATCCCTGCTGTGTTTTGGTCTTTCTCACCTGCCTCCTGCAGTAGCTCACACATCCATACAGAAGAATTCAAACCCTCTCCACAGCCACAGCCCCCTTCCACTATATCCCTGCTTTTGTAATAGCTGGTTTCCTGTCCATATAACAGGCTTTTTTTTGTGCTCTGTTCCTTAGTTGGAATCCTCGCTTATACCGTGAGTGTCTTTGAAGACATCCTTACCCTTTTAAGATTGGATCTTGCAACTTAGCCCAGAGTAGCCTCAAATTCAGTCTTCTACATCAGCCTTCTAAATAGCTAGAATTGGACAGCTCTAATCTTAACCCTTTAGGTGTTTTAATATGACATGTTCTAAATCTATGTCCTCATTATGAATGGAAATTAATACTTGCACAGTTGCTATAAGGCCCAAGATAGTTGTAGAATTTTCATGATCTATATGAGACTAACACTTAGACTGTACCACCACTTTCTTCCTCATCCTGCTATTATTACCCATATATGGAACAAATGAAGTATTTGAATAACTAGCTAAAGTAAGTTCTACATGGCTATTTACATATTTTTAGGCAAAAAAAAAAAAATTAAACCAAAAAAAAAAAAAAAAAAAAAAAAAAACCCCATCTGTGTAACAATTTTAAACTATTACCGAATGCCTGCCTGGCCATTGTCTTTGTTTCTAACATTCTGGGTTTTAAACTCTGCTACCTGCTACCTACTTTGGGCCTTCAGGTCTATTATTAAAACCTAATTCTCACACTGGTGTGGAGGCATTTGGAGATAGAAACACAGAAGTGTCAAGAATTCAAGGCCATCCTTGATTACACAGTGTGCTTCAGGCGGGGCTGGGCTACTTGAGACTGTCCAATAAGCAAACAGCAAAGTGCTCCTGGTAAAGCCACATGGAAGTCTCACTGGAGGTTAAGGGAAGGGGATCATTTGAGCCCAGGAGTTCAAGACCAGCCTAGGCAATATACTGAGAGCCTGTCTCTTAATAAAATACAGAAGGAGAACTAACCCTGCAAGTTTTCCTTCTCTAAGGCAGGAGCTCATCTACACATATAAATGTACACATCATAACATTGCTAAGGATTTTAAATACAGCATAAAGCATGGTTGTTATTAATCTTTTAGCTTATGAAGCCCTAAACCTTGTCTTGATAAAATGTAGCTTGTTCTATCTAGGACTTTACTACTAACAGACTTCTTTGTCCCTGGATGTCTAGCTACTAGAGGTGTTGTCCTCTAGAGGGTACCAAGTTTAAAAGGAGCATCCCTCTTCCTTTAAGGTCTGCTTTCTTGTTTCAAATCAATAGCTGATTATTGGGGGATTCTAGATCATCAGACTGTGTTTGTGAAGATATAGGCAGGCAGCTCAACCCTGAGAGAAAGAAGTTATGTGACCCCAGGTTTCTGGTTTGTCTGCTGTGCTAGACTGTTCCTGATTGGCACAGGCAGGACAAATGACAGTTTTTTTTTTTAAGGGGATCTGGAGGTGATGGTGTTTGTTCAGGCTGATCATGCTAGATTGCAGATACTGTTTGGCAGTCTATGTTGTATGAGTACTGAGAATCATGTATTTCCCAACTCAATATATAGATGGGATTTCTTTTTTAATTCTTATGTGTATGGGTATTTTGCCTGCGTGAATATGTACCATGTGCCCACTGAGTCAGAAGAGAACATTGGCTCTCTTGTGTCCTTTGGAAGAGCAACAAGTGCTTTAAACTGCTGAGCTATCTTTATAGCCCCTTGGTGGGGTTTCTTGTTGGCCTGTCACTTACCTTTCACATTGGAAAGCATTCATTGACACACAAAGTATCAAGGCCACAGTCAACATATGAATGAATGGTCAGTTCCTGTGTGTTTCGTTTTCCCTCTAAAGGTTCTAATACTCCATGTCAGAGCCTGAATGAATGGTCAGTTCCTGTGTGTTTCGTTTTCCCTCTAAAGGTTCTAATACTCCATGTCAGAGCCTGCAGCATAGGAACAGCTGTGGGGCTGTTGGGGTGGTTCCTCCAGTGAAGCAAATGTGCACAGAGTATGAGAGAGAAGAGACAGTAGTGAGTCCCTGGACTCTGCCATCAGAGATCCACAGGATTCTTCAGGACAGGCCCAGGGCCTTTCTACAGGTGAGTTTGCCCCTTTGTAAGATTTGAAAATAATGATCACTATGGCCATTTTGAAATTGTCTTATCATTGGGTTCAAACATTTTCTAGTGCCTTCCTCCCTCTTAGTATCTTGGTCCCTCTGTTGCTTCTTGTCTGAATCTCTAGACCTCTATATATCTGTTACCTCTGAGTCTATACACAGGCTACCACCCCATTCCCTTGAGACAGTTTCCCTGCTGTATTAGCAGGCTAGCAAGTCTCCTACCCCATCCTTTCTCTGCTGGAGTTAAAAGTGCATGAAGCCACCTGCAGTTCCCCCCCCCCAGGTACTAGGATCGAAACACAGGTCCTCATACTTGAGCAGCAAGCACTCCTTAACTACTGAGCCCTCTCTCTAGCCCTGATGTGCCACCTCTGGCAAGTCTAGACTTGGTTCAAAAAAACTCCTGATCCTCCACTTCTGGAGTGCAAGAATTGTAGCCAGGCCCCCTATGCCCAGCTCTTAGGATTTCCAACTCTATCCTCCCATTTAGCTATCAGAATTCTCCTTTTTCTTTTTAATTAATAACTACCATAGAAGAACAGATTACTGTACTGTAGGTGTCAGATCCCATTTTGACTGTCCATCAGATCTGAGGCCCATGTTATCTCAGTGTAGACCTGCTCGGCAACCTCCAATCTGTTCCCACATCCCTTTACCTCTTTACTGGGTCACAACTGTCTTTGCAATCCTACAGGACATGTCCCCAACTGAAGAGGAAGATCCTGAGCCATCTTTTTTGTTGGGTGGCATGGACAGCGTATCTGAGAGCACTGGCAGCATCCTCAGTAAACTTGACTGGAGAGCCATTGACGACATGGTGGCCGGCGTGGAGGACAAGACCCTGTCCGTCCACTGGGCCTCAGACCAGTAGGGCCTGGGTAGCACTCTCTTTCCAGGCCCTGGCCAGCATCCCACTGATGTGGGTCTAAGGCTAGATATGATGGGAATTTACAACCTGCAGCCACAGGGTTCCAGGATTAACCATTGCAAGAGTGAAAATAAACATGTATCAGTATGGGGAATATTAAGGGTTGTTTAGAGAAAAGTATGTTTTACATGTGATTCATCTTTAGATATAATTTAAGCAATGTGTACATGTAAAGTCAGGTTTTCACAATAGTTAAATTACTTTGAATAAAAAATGTTTTGTATCTGCTTCCTCCTTTACTACTCTGTTCCCAGACACTGCGAATGTGGGGGACCTGACAAGAACCTCCTGTCACTGGGGGAACATCACTGTCTGCTTGAAAGGGCAGTCTCAGCCTACAGTTCAGCTGAGCAGGCTCTCCATTTAACAGGAGCCGGCCATGCATGGACCGTTTATCTTGTACTCTGTGGCCCGATAGGACCAGCAAAGACAAGGATGCGGGATTCAGAGGCAGAGGAGAATGTATGTATTATGTGTGTGCATCTGTGGAGGTCACAGGGCTCGGATTAGGGTCATCAGGCTTCAAAGCAGGTGCCTTTGTCTGCTGAGCCACCTCTGTCCTACAACAGTCATCTTAACCTTGTAAAAATCACAGGGAGATGGTTTTCAGAGAAATGACGACATCCCAGGAGCCTCCAACCCTTGTCATTTTGGTGCCCTGTCAAAGAATCCTGATGTCTGCAAAGGTTGAACTATCCCACATCCCTAACTTTGTGATGTCAGATGTTTTCCATGTTCAACCAAAGCATCATTTAACCTTGGAGAGAGATGCAGAATCAGAATTTTAGTCTCCCAGTTTCTTAGAGGTGCATGTAAAGAGTGTTTACAAGTCTGTTTTGTAGGGCTGAGGATGTAGGCAGAAGTAGTGTCTGCCTCCTGTGTGCAGGTGCTGGCTGTGATCCCCAGTACCACAGAACAAACCTGAACTACCATGAAATTTTCCTGTCCTCTCCCTTGCTCCACCCTTAGTAGGGGGAGACTAATCCCAGGTCATGCCAGAGGGATCTGAGGGCTTCCCTCTCAGCTCAACACAGCTGAGTGAGCAGTTCACTTCAGAGTTTTGTTCTTTTTACTTTGTTCCACTCTGGCATATGATCTCTGCTTTTGTCTGTATATTGCTCAGTTAGGTCTTGGGTTGTTATTTTTTTTCTACACCTAGTTCCAGTCCTCAGTCACATCTTATTCTTGCACCTTATTTCTCATCTTCTCCATTTCTTTTTATTCTTAATTAAAGCCTTTCATAGTTTTAACAATCCCTAAAATCTACGGACCTTAACAATGCTCCAACTTAGCTGTTTTACCCACCTCAATACATAATCAGTATACTCATTCATCTAACTCTCTCCCACTTTAAGCGCTCTTAACTAAAATCTGTATAGACATGCACTCGTGCACACACACAGACATAGACATCCTTACATAGAGAGGATACTGTAGACATTCATATATGCACATGTATAGACATGCATAAAAAGGATACTGTATCCACATAAAACACATGCATTTAGACATATAGCCAGAAAATAACCTTATTACAGTAGTAGTGGGTGATTTTGGCACTTCACTCACACCAACTGACAGGTCTTCCCAACGACAAAATAGGTAAATATGTTCAGTGACAATATAGATCAGATAGTTAGCAGCCATCTATGGGACACTCCATCCAAACCCATTATTTTTAGCATCCCATGGAACTTACTCCATAATAGACCACATATTATAACACAAGACAAGTCTCAACAAATGCAAGAAATTGGAAATAATTCTTTGTATCTTATCTAATTGAAATGTAATAACACGACAAATAAATACCAAGAGAAACAAACAAACTCATGAAGATGAAACAATACACTTTTGAATAATCGAGTCCTTAAATCAAGAAACAGGGGCCTCTGCCAGAGACCCGCATATCCATGCAGGAACATCCTGAGTTCCTGCCTGCCTGATCTTTGACCCCCATCTCAGGGCCTCTGCCAGAGGAGAGACCTCCTAGAGAGCTTGGACCACCCAGAGCTACAGACATCAAACTCCTGACCCACCTACGCCCACGGGGAGAGTAGAGTAGACAGACTCCACCTGCACCCACTGGGAGAAGCAATAGGAAGATGGTAATACAAGAAAATACCTAACAATATAAAGACAAACATGACACCACCAGAATCTAGGGACTCTACACCAACTAGACCTGAACACCTCAAAGCAGATGAAGTAGAAGAGAATGACTTAAAAAATAACTTCATAAAAATGATAGAGCTCCTCAAAGACGATATGAGGAAATCCCTTAAAGGAATGAAGAAAAAAGAAATGAATAAATCTCTTAAGGTAAGGAAAGCCAAGAAAAATCAAACAGATGTTTTAAGACTTGAAAACTGAAATAGAGACAGTAAAGAAAACACAAACTGAGGGAATGCTGGAAACAGAAAAGCTGAGCAAACAATCAGGAACTACAGATGCAAGCATAACAGAATATAAGAGATGGAAGAGAATCTCAGGCGCTGAAGATAAACTAGAGGACATAGATTCATCGATCAAAGAAAATCTTAAATCCAACAAATCCTTAACACAATACATCCAGGAAATGTGGGACATCGTGAAAAGGCCAAACCTAAGAATAATAGGCATAGAAGGCGAAGAAGCCCAGCTCAAAGGTGCAGAAAACATATTTCACAAAATCATTGAAGAAAATTTTCCCAGTCTGAAGGATATGCCCATGAAAAGTACAAGAACACCAAATAGACTGGACCAAAGAAAAAAGACCCCTCACACATAATAAAACACCTAACATACAGAATAAAGAAAGAATATTAAGAGCAGTGAAAGAAAAAGGCCAGGTAACATAAAGGCAGACCAATCAAAATTACACCTGACTTCTCCATGGAAACTCTGAAGGCCAGGAGGTCCTGGATAGATGTTCTACAAGTACTAAGAGTCCACGAATGCCAGCCCAGGCTACTATACCCAGCAAAATTCTCTTATCATTATAGACAGAGAAAACAAGATATTCAATGATAAAGCCAGATTTTTACAATACATATCTACAAATCCAGCCCTACAGAAAGTTCTGGAAGGAAAACTCCAACCCAAGGAAGTTAACTACGCTCACAAAGACATAGTCAATAGATAATCCCACTTCACCAGAACCCAAAGGATAAAGCAGGGCAAATATAATCAATACTGCTGCCAACAACAAAACTAAAACAAACAAGCATTAACAATCAATGGTCCTTACTCTCCTTCAATATTAATGATCTTAACTCGCCTATAAAAAGACATAGGCTAACAGAATAGATACCAAGACATAATCCATCCTGCTGCTGCATATAAGAAATACATCTAAGTTTAAAGATAGACATTACCCTCAGGGTAAAGGGCTGGGAAAAGATCTTCCAATCAAATGGACCCAAGAAGAAAGCAGGTGTGGCTATCCTAATATCTAAGAAATTAGACTTCAAACCAAAATCAAAAGGGATGAAGAAATTCATTTTGTATTAATCACAGGAGAAATCCATCAGCACAAAGTCTCAATTCTGAACATCTATGCCCCAACTACAAAGAAAGCACCTATATTCACAAAAGAAATGCTATGAAAACTCAAAGCTCACATAAAACCTCACACACTCATAGTGGGAGATTCCAACACCCCACTCTCACTGCTAGACAGGACCACCAGACAGAAACTTAACAACAACAAAAAATAAAAACAAACAAACAAACAAAAAAAAAAACAAAAGAACTAACAGAAGTTATGTCCCAATTGGGTTTAACAGACATCTATAGAACATTCCATCCAAACATAAGAATATACCTTCTTAGCTCCACATGGGACCTTTTCTAAAATTGACCACATACTAGGCAACATAACAAACCTCAACAGATTAAAAAAAAAAAAAAAAGAAATTGGAATAGTCCCCTGTATCTTATCAGACCACTATGCTTTAAAGTTGGGATTCAACAACACAAATTGCAGAAACCCTACAAACTCATGAAACTGAACAATGCGCAATTGCACCATACCTGGGTCAAAGAATAAATAAATTAAAGACTTCCTACAAGTCAACAAGAATGAAGACACAACATACCCGAACTTATGGGACACTTTGAAAGCAGTGCTACGAGGGAAGTTCATTGCACTAAGTGCCCATATGAAGAAAACGAGGATCGTCACATTAGAGAATTAATAACACAACTGAAAGTCTTAGAACAAAAAGAAGCAAACTCACCGCGGAGGAGTAGATGCCAGGAAATAATCAATTTGAGGGCTGAAATCAATAAAGTAGAAACCAGGAAAACAATACAAAAAAAAAAAAAATCAATGCAACAAAGAGTTGGTTTTTCGAGAAAAATCAACAAGATAGACAAAACTTTAACTAAACTAATGAAAAAGCAGAGAGAGAACATGCAAATTAACAAAATCAGAAATGAAAAGGGGGACATAACGGACACAGAAGAAATCAGACAATTTTCAGATCATACCTGTACTCAAAATTTGATAATTCAATGGAAATGTACAAATTTCTGGATAACTATCACTTACCAAAATTAAATCAAGAACAGATACACAACTTAAATAGATCTATAACCCCTAATTAAATAGAAGCAGCCATCAAGAGCCTCCCAACCAAAAAAAGCCCAGTGCCAGATGGCTTCAGTGCAGAATTCTACCAGAAATTCAAAGAAGAGCTAATACCAATACTCAAATTGTTCCACACAATGGAGACAGAAAGTTCATTACCAAACTCTTTTTATGAGGCCACAATCACCTTGGTACCCAAGCCACACAAAAACACAACTAAGAAAGAGAACTACAGACCAATAGCCCTCATGAACACTGATGCTAAAATACTCAATAAAATACTGGCAAATCAAATCCAAGAACACATCAGCGATATCATCCACCATGACGAAGTAGGCTTCATTCCTGAGTTGTAGGGATGGCTCAACATACGAAAATCTATCAACGTGATCCGCCATATACACAAAACTGAAAAAGAAAAATCACACGGTCATCTCACTAGATGCTGAAAAGGCCTTTGACAAAATTCAACACCCTTTCATGATAAAGGTCTTGGAGAGACCAGGGATAACAGGAACATAACTAAACATAATAAAAGCAATATACAGTAAACCAACAGCCAACATCAAACTGAATGGAGAGAAGTTTAAGGCAATTCTTCTAAAATCAGGAACAAGACAAGGCTGCACTCTCTCTC